CTCTCTAAAATCAACTTTAAAAAATTTTAACTGAAAAGGCACTACCCACCTACTCAGTTCCCCAAGTCAAATAATTAGGAATATTACCTGATTCCTCATACGTATTAACTGCCCTACATTGAAACTATGAGTGAGCCTTATCTTTTTCCTCTCTTCAGATTATATCCTGATTTCTTCCACTGTGCTTTCCATTGCTCCCTCAAACCACTTTCCACAGTTTGTACCTGCCTTCTTCTTTTTTTTTTTTTAATATATTTTATTGATTTTTTACAGAGAGGAAGGGAGAGCGATAGAGAGTTAGAAACATCGATGAGAGAGAATCATCGATCAGCTGCCTCCTGCACATCTCCCACTGGGGATATGCCCGCAACCAGGTACATGCCCTTGACCGGAATCGAACCTGGGACCTCTCAGTCCGCAGGCCGACGCTCTATCCACTGAGCCAAACCGGTTTTCGGCAATACCTGCCTTCTTTATCATTGCTTGCTGGTTCACTTTTCCCTAACCAGAATGTATGCTCAGTGAAAATAAGGACTGTTTCTATATGCTCATAACCAGCACAAGGCTTGGTGTATAGTAACCATTTAATAAGGATTTATGGATGTCTGAATGTGTCCCACATCATTTTAAAACAAATATATATCTCTGTGCTCAAGTGCTAATAGTAATTTGATTTGATTTTACTATCCCAGCATGCTTTATAAGGTTATGAGAAAGCAAGCAAATTTATATTTACTCATTAAAAAAAATTTTTTTTTATTTCAGAGAGGGAGAAAGAGATAGAAACATAAATGATGAGAGAATCATAGATTGTTTGCCTCATGCACGCTTTCTACTGGGGATCAAACCAGCAATCCAGGCATGTACCCCCCTTTTTTTTTAAATTATATATATTTTATTGATTTCAGAGAGGAAGGGAAAGGGAGAGAGAGCTAGAAACATCAATGATGAGAGAGAATCATTGATCGGCTGCCTCCTGCAGGTCCCCTACTGGGGATCGAGCCCACAACCCAGGCATGTGCCCTTGACTGGAATCGAACCCGGAACCTTCTGTCCATAGGTCAACACTCTGTTCATTGAGCCAAACCAGCTAGGGCCCCCCCCCCCCTTTTTTTAATCCTCACCTGAGGATATTTTTCCATTGATTTTTTTTTTTTTTTTTTTTTTTAGGGAGAGTAGAAGAGAGAGGAAAAGACAGAGAGAAATATCAATGTGAGAAACACATCATTTGGTTGCCTCCTGCATGAGCCTGGACTAGGGCCCAGGCTGGGGAAGAGCCTGCAACCAAGGTACGTGCTCTTGACCGGAATCGAACCCAAGACCCTTTGGTCCGCAGGCCAACTCTCTATCCACTGAGCCAAACTGGCTACGGCTGTATTTACTCATTTGGAATGAATTAACCTTATTTATACAATGACTGTTTTTATCTTTTATTTTCTTTGTTTATATTATTGTATTTTAACCTTGCCTAAGTAATAAACATATTTGCTTGGAGTTTCTTTAAACTGAGGTCAGTGTTATCAATAAAGCATCAGTCTTCACAGAGCTGTTAGTGAAATAGTATTATTCCATACCAAACTCATGGAAAGGTTCATTTTTCTCTTCTTTCCTAGAAACCAAGAAAAATGATGGTCACCTACAGAGATACTTGCAAAATCAAAGATGTCTAAAGAGAACAGAACAGTGCCATGAACATAATGCATTTGGAAACATCATTCATTGGAGTAAAAGTAATTTTCCTTTAAGGCAAAATCATGATACATCTGACGTGCATGGGAAAGCATTGAAATCAAATACAAGTTTGGTTAACCAGAACAGAAGCTGTGAAGTAAAGAACCCAGTTGAGGTTAATGGACATGCGAAATCTTTCCTCCATGCAAAGCATGAGCAACATCATACTGAAATAAAATTTCCTGAATGTGTTACTTCTGTAAACGCAAACTCCCAATCCCTTAAGGCGCAAAGGACTCAGAAGATAAATAAACCCCATGTATGCGGTGAATGTGGGAAAGACTTCATCAAGAAGTCTCGCCTCATAGATCACCAGAGAGTTCATACGGGAGAGAAACCTCATGGGTGCAGCGTATGTGGGAAGGCCTTCTCCAGGAAGTCCAGGCTCACTGAACATCAGAAAACTCATATAGGAGAGAGACGGTATGAGTGCACCGAATGTGACAAAGCCTTCCCCAAGAAATCACGACTACTCGCTCATCAGAAAACACACACAGGAGAGAAACCCTATGTTTGCGATGAATGTGGAAAAGGCTTCATCAAGAAGTCTCGGCTCATGAATCATCAGAGAGTTCACACAGGAGAGAAGCCGCATGGATGCAGTCTGTGTGACAAAGCCTTCTCCAGGAAGTCCAGGCTCATTGAACATCAGAGAACTCACACGGGAGAAAAACCTTACGAATGCACAGAATGTGACAAAACCTTTCGCTGGAAATCACAGCTCAATGCCCATCAGAAAACTCACACAGGAGAGAAATCGTTTATATGCAGTGACTGTGGGAAAGGCTTCATCCAGAAGGGCAATCTCATTGTACATCAGCGAACTCACACGGGAGAGAAACCCTATATATGCAACGAATGTGGCAAAGGCTTCATCCAGAAGGGCAATCTCCTAATACATCAACGGACTCACACTGGAGAGAAACCCTATGTATGCACTGAGTGTGGAAAAGGTTTCAGCCAGAAAACTTGCCTTATATCACATCAGAGATTTCACACCGGAAAGACTCCCTTTGTGTGTACCGAATGTGGCAAATCTTGTTCACACAAGTCAGGTCTCATTAACCATCGGAGAATTCACACAGGGGAGAAGCCCTATACGTGCAGTGACTGCGGAAAGGCTTTTAGAGATAAGTCGTGCCTCAATAGACATCGAAGAACTCATACAGGGGAGAGACCCTACGGGTGCTCTGACTGTGGGAAAGCCTTCGCCCACCTGTCATGCCTGGTGTACCATAAGGGAATGTTGCACACCAGAGAGAAATGCGTAGGTTCCGTCAAGTTGGAAAACCCTTTTTCAGAGAGTCAGAGCTCAGCTCACTCGAGTGACAGAGTACAGGAGAAAACCTCTGTTGATGCGATGACTGTTCGGATGCCTTCAGTGGCAGGTCAGATTTCATTACACATCAGTGGGTTCCTAGCGGATGGGAACATGGCCACTGTGGGACCGCCAGGTGCCAGGGGTGCAGCCTCCGCAGATAACAGAATTGACACAGAGAAACCTTATGAACGCAGGGAATGTGGTAGTACCTTCAGTGACCAGTTATGTCATATTGTATGTCACAAAAACCACACAGGAGTAAACTGTGATGCAATCAAGACGGAAGACTCTTGAATAAAACATTCTAGCTCATTATATGGCTTACAAGTGTCGGCTGAGACAAGTGTGCATACAGACTGGGAGAGCCTTCCATGGCACCATAGACCTTATCCGTGCTGCTTCATGTGTCACATGTCATGAGTGAGCTCCTGGTTGGTAGAAATATAATGGCCATGGGAAATCCTTTTCCAGAAATAAGACTTCAGTAGGTGGTAGAGGGTTTACACAGGAGAGAAATTGTTGGACCTTTGAAGGCAGTGATTGTGGCAGGGTTGTCTGCCTCACCTACTGGCAGAGGAAACCCAAGAAATAAAACTCTGGGCACAACTAACTGTGGAACATCTTCAGCAAAATATCGGAAAATGCATGAAGCAGATAAGGCCTGTGAAAATGAAGAAGACTTTAGGGACTTGCGTCACAATTCTAACATAATTATACATCAGATAATTGACACAGTGTACATTGTAGGACAATATACCTTGAATCAAACTCCTAGTTGATATGTTTGTGAGGACTCCTTAATTTAATGCTGCTTTTTTTTTTTTTAAATATATTTTATTGATTTTCCACAGAGAGGAAGGGAGAGAGAGAGTTAGAAACATTGATGAGAGAGAAACATCGATCAGCCGCCTCCTGCACATCTCCCACTGGGGATGTGCCCGCAACCCAGGTACATGCCCTTGACCGGAATCTAACCTGGGACCTTTCAGTCTGCAGGCTGACGCTCTATCCACTGAGCCAAACCGGTTTTGGCTAATGCTGCTTTTTTAAAAAATATATTTTTATTGATTTCAGAGAGGAAGGGAGAAGGAGAGAGAGATAGAAACATCAATGAGAATCATTGTTCAGCTGCTTCCTACACGCCCCATACTGGGGATCCAGCCCACAATCCAGGCATATGCCCTTGGCTGGAATCAAACCTAGGACCCTTCAGTCCACAGGCCGACGCTCTATCCACTGAGCCAAATCGGCTAGGGCTAATGCTTTTTTTAAAATTTATTTTTATTGATTTCAGAGAGGAAGGAAGAGGGAGAGACAGAAATATGAATGATGACAGAGAATCATTGATTGGCTGCCTCCTGCACGCCTCCTACTGGGGATCAAGCCCACAACCCGGGCATGTGGCCTTCACCGTAATCCAACCCCGGACCCTTCAATCTGCAGAGCGTTGCTCTATCCACTGAGCCAAACCAGCTAGGGCAGGACTTCTTAATTTAAAGGAGGTTGTCTGTTTTGCACCCTCCCCCTGTTGGGGGCATGAATCTATTTTCTCACATAGGAACATTATATGGTTAGCTCTTGCATTTCTTCAGTTCTAAATTTATTCCATTTGTATTTTAGAGGACTGAAATCCTTCAAAAGGAAACAATACATTTATTTCTACAGTATAACAGCATGTTTGGATGTGCTAACTTTATAAACATTACCCGGGAACAGAGCTCAAAACTCATGAATAGGCCAAAACCGGTTTGGCTCAGTGGATAGAGCGTCAGCCTGCGGACTGAGGGGTCCCAGGTTCTATTCCGGTCAGGGGCATGTGCCTGGGTTGCGGGCACATCCTCAGTGGGAGATGTGCAGGAGGCAGCTGATCAATGTTTCTCTCATCGATGTTTCTAACTCTCTATCTCCCTTCCTCTCTGTAAAAAATCAATAAAATATATTTTAAAAAAAACAACAACTCATGAATAGCCTGTCAGCCAAGCTTTTGCCCAAAAGAGAGTTTCCCATCCTGTGCACGCACCACTCAGAAAAACATTAACAGCCATTCCCTTCACCTGGTACTGTTCTAGGACCTATAGATGATGATGGTGAGGAACTAAACAAAAAGTTATTGCTACCTTTGAGCTAGCAATTTTTTCTTTTTCTCTTTTTTCCCTTTCTCCCTCCCTCTCTGGCTTCCTAGCTCTGGCTGCTAGCAATTTTTTGAAAGATAGACTTCATGCATATAGTTTTACTCTTCAGCAAGTATAATCAGAGGACATATATGCTTATGCTAGTTGAAAAGGATATACTAGTATAGTAAAAGGAACAAGGTATCCTGATAATTTCTTGTTCAGGATGCATATTATTATTTGGAGGAAGGAGGGATTCATTTCATTTTACACACAAAATAGAGTATGGATACTTTTTAAAAAATGCTCATGTCTTCTACCCAGATGATAAATTCCTTGATATAGTTTACAGATGATTGTGTATTTCCCAGAACATAGCAAGAAAGAAATGAATTATATGTAGAATTGAAAGATGAATGAATGAGCTATTGGACTAATCAAGATTATTTTTGTCACTGAAAGAATGGAGCTGCTAGAAAGAAAGTCTAATGATCAGTATTCTTTTTTGTCCCTCTTTTTTATTTTTTTAATAGTTATTTTTTTCACTTTTTAATTCTTTTAAATAAGGATCAGTATTCTAAGAAGCTTAAAAAAAATCCTGAAAAGAGGCTCCTGTCAGAATATAAAAGGGAGCAGATCAGAGAAGGAATAGGATCTGGAGAATAAACCCAATTAATGGAAGAAAATAATTTCATTAAAATGGAGGCCAGAAGGTGAAATCCTTTGGATGTCTTAGAGACACACACTTCCATTTGTCCACAGGTCTCTGATCTTTTAAGAGTTTGCTACCATTTCAAAGATCCCGGTTCCTCTGATGTGATGAATTGAAACAAGTTATATCACTCCTCACTCTCCTGGGAATGGGGTCCTTGTCCCCTCTTCTATACTCAGGATTCTTTCTCTTGATCCAGTAAAGATACCCAGCTTAAAAAAACAGTGAGTCCTGCTTATAAGGGGGGAAAGTAGAAATTTGCCATGAAGTGGCTGTCTCGTAATTGAATTCCCAACTCTGGCTCTTCGAGTAATTCATTACAACATGTTCATTTGAGTGTTTGCACTGTGCCAGGGATACCGTGTAGACACGGGATACCCTGGAGAACAACATATGCAAAGCAATGGCCTCTTAAGAGACTGCATCCAGGTGCTCTTCAGCAAAGAATCAGAAGTGGCTTCTTCAACTCAGACCTCATCCTCTTTACTTCTTGTCCTGCAAGTCTGCACATCCTATCATGGCAGTCAGCGTCTTTCTCACTGAAATTGTCAGTCAGGGTCCCGGAATGGACTTCCCTGCGCCCTGAGGACCAGGTGCGGAACTCACCTTTCAGAGGTTGGCATTGCAGGTAAATAAATGTTCATGGTATAGACAATTTCAGATTGACCTCTTTAAGAAGGGCATACCAACTTACATCGTCTACTGCTTTACCCCTCATTTTCTTTATTATTTTAAATACATGTATTTTTTAATTTCAGAGAGAAAGGGAGAGTGAAAGAGAGAGAGAAACATCAATGAGAGAGAACTGATTGGCTGCCTCCTGAGCGCCTCCCACTTGAGATGGAGCCAGCAACCCAGGCATATGCCTTGACTGGAATCAAGCCCGGGATCCTTCAGTCCACAGGCTGACATTCTGTCCACTGAGTCAAACCAGCCAGGGCTTCTTTCCTCTCCTCTCCTCTCCTCCCCTCTCCCCTCCCCTCCCCTCCCCTCCCCTCCTCTCCCTCTCCCTCCCCCTCCCCCTCCCCCTCCCCCTCCCCCTCCCCCTCCCCCTCCCCTCTCCTCTCTTCTCCTTTTCTTTTCTATCCTTTTCTTTTCAATATATTGTTATTGATTTCAGAGAGGGAGAGAGAGAAACAGCAGTCATGAGAGAGAACCATTGATCGGCTGCCTTCTGCACGCCCCCTACTGGGGATTGAGCCTACAACCGGGCATGTGCCCTTGACCGGAATCAAACCTAGGACCCTTCAGTCCGCAGGCCAATGCTCTATCCACTGAGCAAAACTGGCTAGGGCTCATAAAAATTATAGCTGTTATTTAGTGTGCTGCTTGTCAGACATTAACTGTATATTTAGTTATTTAGTTCTCAAATGCTCTATTTCCATCTTCATGTATTATAGGGAAACATTTGTACAGCGGGTCCTTGAATAATGTTTTATTCAGGGTCCTTTTGTTATAACGTTGAGATGCCATAGGAACTTAACTCTTGTTTATTTATATGAACCTGTGGTAAATAAAATCGGTTTCAGTAGATATTGTTTGGCTTAAAGTCACAACCTATCGATGACGTTAAGTGAGGACTTATTGTCTACATGTCATCCTCATTCTTTTCTCCTTAGTACCTGTAGCCAGATACTGCATACAGTTGTATGTGGCCAAAACTGAGAGTACTGAGATCAGGGAATAGGGTCTTACTGGGGTCACTGCTTTGCAGTGGTTCTCAACCTTCCTAATTCCGTGACCCTTTAATACAGTTCCTCATGTTGTGGTGACCCCCAACCATAAAATTATTATTGTTGCTACTTCATAAGTGTAATTTTGCTACTATTATGAATCGTAATGTAAATATCTGATATGCAGGATGTATTTAGGCGACCCCTGTGAAAGGGTTGTTTGACACCCAAAGGGGTCGTGACCCACAGGCTGAGAACCGCTGCTGCCTTTTATGGCTCAGTGATGGAAAACTAGAGTTGGGGGTGGTTGTATTAGTAGGCTAAGGCTGTCATAACAAAGTACTACAGACTGGATGACTTAAAAGAAATTTATCCCTCACAGCTCTGAAGGCTGGAAGTTCAAGATCAAAGGTGTCATCAAGGTTGGTTTCTTCTGCGGCCTCTCTCCTTGGCTTGCAGATGGCCATTTTCTTCCTGTGTCTTCACATGATTAATGTATGTCTGTGTCCTAATCCCTTATGAGGACACCAGATTGGATCAGATCCCATCCTAACGACCTCATTTTAACTTAGTGGCCTCTTTAAAGGCCCTGTCTCCTAACACAGTCACATTCTAAGGTACTAGAAGTTATGACTTGAACATAATGGATTTTGGGGAACACAATTCAGCCCATATTTGTTTGTGGTATTTATCAATAAATGCCATTCAAGTTTGGAAATTTATATCGGGCTAACTACTGGAGCTCACACGTCATCAGTAAACAGTGCCGTCTTTTCCAGGTTTGACTACAGGGGGATATGGTCAATATCGGGGGACACCCATGTGTGTCTGTGGTTGAGAGGCTGAAGCTATGGAGGCCCAGGACCTCTGTGCTGCTGGGACAGACCCGATGAACGTTACTTTCCCATCAGTCTTTCAAGTAAGTCTAAGTTCTTCATATACACACACACACACACACACATATATATATATACACATATATATATATATATATATAAATTTTATTTCAATATATTTATATATCTACATATATAGTACTATATACTAGTATGTATAGTTTTACTTCCTGAATGATGGGGGTGATAGAGCTTCTTTTGTTCTAATAAGGTGACTCCTTGGTAGGGGCTGGTTACAAAAAAGACCAAGCTATCATTAGAAGCTTGGAACTTTTTTTTTTTAAATATATTTTTATTGATTTCAGAGAGGAAGGGAGAGGGAGAAAGAGAGAGAAACATCAATGATGAGAGAGAATCACTGATTGGCTGCCTCCTGCACGCCCCACACTGGGGACCGAGCCTGAAATCCGGGCATGTGCCCTTGACCGGAATCGAACTGTGACCTGGTTCGTAGTTCAACACTCAACCACTGAGCCCCGCCAGGCAGAAGCTTGAAACTTTCAATCTCATCTGCTATACTCTGGGGGAGGAAAAGGGCCTAGAGAATTAGTTCATAATCAGTTATTCATGAACAGACTCTTACTGTATGAACTCTTCTTATCTGCCTTTCAAATGCTTCAAATGCAGCATTTAAATATATGTATATATGTAATCATTTGAATCTTACCAATATATATGAGATACATATAATAATAATAATCATTGGAATCTTATCTTTAAAATGTATCCATAAATCAAATAGGTAATTTTTAAAAAAGTAAAGGCAACATATATGCATATACTTAATATTTATACATTGTGTATATATTAGCAAACGGACGTTCCCTACTGTATTGCAGGTTCCCTCAGGGTTGATAATATGCGAGGAGGACTCCCAGCAAACTTGCTGTCCTCAAGGTTACATTTATCATAGAAAGGAAAGAGATTGAAATCAAAGGATAAAGGTGAAAGCACACCCCCAGTGTGATTTAAGGTGGGGGCTATGGATCACATGTTATCACATGGAAATTGGAAGAGCTGGAGACTAAGGCACAGTGGTGTCCTACCAGGATCACATGATTGAGTCCCAGTAAAGACTAGACATCAGTTTCAGGTGGGCTTCCCCGGTTGGCAGAACTCCCCACCTACTGCCGCACGCTTGTGCCGACCGAGAGGGGAACAAGGCCCATGACGCCCTTGGGGAGGACAGCTGGACGCTGCCCTTTATGCCTCTTCTCTGGGCTGATGCTAATCTCTAGCTTTGAACTAGTAAAGAACCCCAACTATTTTGGATAATTTCTAGTTCATTGATTATCCCTTTCAATACCTCTAATGTGCTTTTTAAAAAAATATATCTTTTTATTGATTTCAGAAAAGAAGGGAGAGGGGGAGAAGGAGATAGAAACATCAATGATGAGAGAGAATCATTGATCGACTGCCTCCTGCATGCTCCACACTGGGGATTGAGCCCGCAACCTAGGCATGTGCCCTGACTGGGCACCGACTGTGACCTCCCGGTTTATAGGTTGACACTCAACCACTGAGCCACACCAGCCAGGCTAATGTGCTTTTAACATGCATGTGTATGCGCCTGATTGTCTTTTTAGTTTCCTTTTCTTTAGACATATTAAAATATTTTATTCCCTACAACATTTTAAACCCACTTATTAAACATGTCATATTTGAATAATTGTTGTCTCTGCCACCATTCTGATCCACCAAGCCTGGGAAGGCCCTATTAATTGTAATACTGTGTTTTATTAATCTTTTTATCACCCACGTATGTATCCTGTTTGGGCAACTGGTACACGTATACATATATATTTTTCTTGGTTAGCTAGATTTAATGGCTGTGCATTATAGAAATATCTAATTTGTTGAAGACTAAATTATAATAGCAGAATATTCTAATAGTACTTTCCTTCTACTACAAATTTTTTTTTTTTTTTTTTTACTTTTTAAACTGTTTATACTGATGCAGCCTGTATGGTGAAAATAAGCAGAATGACTTCCTTTACATTCCTTCTGTATGTCAATAAAAGCGAAACACTTCCAATTAAACAGGACCGTGTTAATACGGGAATTGAAGATGTGGCTTTGGACTTCACCTGGCAGGAATGGCAGCTTCTGGACCTGATTAGGACCCGCACAGGGACGTGATGTTGAGAACTACAGCCACCTGGTGTCAATGGGTGAGGACGGCTCCCCTGTGTCACTCAGAGGGTCCCCGGGCAGTGGCCTTTCCTCCCAGCTGCTTCAGAGTCTCTGTAGTGCTCTCAAGTGATAGATTCTCAGACCCCTCTCTGGCTCCAGGCAAGAGTATATCATGTTCCCTCTCCTGAGAGAAAAGCCCTCCACTTTGCAGATGTGAAACTGTAGAATCCTTCAAATGTAGCATTTTCCCATCTTGACATCCTAGCCCAGTGATGGCGAACCTATGACACGCCTGTCAGAGGTGACACGCGAACTCATTTTTTTGGTTGATTTTTCTTTGTTAAATGGCATTTAAATATATAAAATAAATATCAAAAATATACATCTTTGTTTTACTATGGTTGCAAAGATCAAAAAATTTCTATATGTGACGCGGCACCAGAGTTAAGTTAGGGTTTTTCAAAATGCTGACACGCCGAGCTCAAAAGGTTCGCCATCACTGTCCTAGCCCAATGTCATGTGTTGGTCTTCTGTCATTTCCTATGAACAGGGTGTCAAGCCAGCAAACCAAACACATTCTTCAAGCTGGAATGAGGGAAAGAACCCTGGACAATAGAAGACAAAACCCACAGTGGAACCTGTCCAGGTGAGAACCAGCAAGACAGGCGGCCAGGGAAGGCATATGCTAGCTAGGCAGTCAGAGAAGGTGCCACAATGTGAGAGTGAGGAAAGCTAAACAGCAGCTCCTCATATCCTTCTGGCCGCCGGAGACCTTTCTCTTTGGAGTTTAGAGGGAAATACACCCTTTTCTTCTCCTGAGATCTGGTCCCATCTGGTCCCTGTTTATTTTATGTACATCTTGCATTTTTATTGTTTTGCGAGTACTTTTTTTTCTGTCAACTCATCTCTTTTGTTCATTGCCACCGTGCCCCTTCCTATTTCTCCCACCTCCGTTGCTATGAAAGTCCACCTTCCAGGCCTCGTTCCAGAGATCTTTGAGTTGAACATAATCTTTAACTAGAGCATTTGGGAAATAGTGATTTCCCTTCCTAACATTCAACCCCATGTGGGATGCTATGCCCACATGGTAACCTGATTTCTGTGTTTATATGTTTCTTAGCATCTTGCTATAGACTAAATGTTTGTGTCCCCTGAATGTTATATGTTAAAATCCTAACCTAGAGGTGATGGTTTTAGGAGATGGGGCCTTTGAGAGGTGATTAGGTTATGAAGGCTCTCACCAGACACTGAATCTGCTGGTGCCTTGATCTTGGACTTCTCAGCCTCCAGAAATGTGGAAAATAAATTTCTGTTGTTTTGTGTTATGGCAGCCTGAACGAACTAAGACACTTGTCTTTGCCCCTCTCTGAAATTGTCCAAAGGTTCTGTTTTCCATTTCTTGCTCTGTTCTCATAATTCTTACATCTTTCCTCCATTCTAATACGTTAAGCTGCTATTCTCTATAAAAACTCCTAAATTCACATCTCCCTTAATGTTTTCTGATTTGCACACTTGTCCCATATATTTTACTGTCTCCACAGACACTCGTGGCTGAATTCAGACTTTTTGTTCAAGGAATGAAAATCATCTTCCCTACAAGATGATTTCTTCCACCTTCTTTTTCTTTTAAGTTTATGATCTTCTAACAATTTAGAAAGATGAATATTTAATAAAGTAGTTTAAGAATGAGCAGTTGTGCCTGGCCGGTATGGCTCAGTGGTTGAGTGTTGACCTAGGAATCAGGAGGTCGCTGTTCGATTTCTGGTCAGGACACATGCCCGGGTTGCAGGCTCTATCCCCAGAAGGGGGCATGCAGGAGGCAGCTAATCAATAGTTCTCTCTCATCGTTGATGTTTCTATCTCTCTCTTTCGCTCTCCCTTCCTCTCTAAAATCAATAAAAGTATTTTTTTTAAAAAAAGAACAGTTATGAAGTAGGGAGTTAAAGAGATGGTGAGGTTGAAAGCTCCAAGAGAGTCTGATTCACCAGAAGTAGAACAAGAATGTCTTTCAAGAAAGATTTAGCTCTGAAACGTAAACATTATCTGCAGTTGTCATTTCATGAAGTAAGATATGAACTGAGGGACAGGTATATGATGATAGTGTTTTCTTCCTATACAGAGTGTGTGTGTTGAGAAACTCAATGTCTGTCTGAATATAAAAGGACTGGGATTCTCAGGATTAGTGAAAGTGTGATTTCCTTGCTTCAAATGGAGGAAAGTATGGGAAATAAAGGAGGTAAAATCCGCTGGGATATCTTGTAGAAGAACCTTATTTGTATTTTATTTGTTCACAGGATTATCATTTTTAAGAGTTGCCATCATTTCAAAGATCCCATCTTCCCTGTGATGTGCTACATTGGACATGTGATTTTCCTATCTTTTTTTCATTCCTTCTTACTCTTCTGAGTGGGGCTCTTGCTCTCTTTCCTCTACCCCGGTGGTTCTCAACCTCGGCTGCACGTTAGAATCACCTGGGAATCTTTCAAATCCTGATTTCTGGGCCTCATCCTCCGGAAATTCTGTTTCTTTGTTACTAATGTTGTGGTTTCACCCCATAACGGAGAAACAGACTTTCCAGAGGATGAGGCCCAGAAATCAGGATTTTAAAAAGATTCCCAGGTGATTCTAATGTGCAGCCAAGGTTGAGAACCGCTGCTCTACCCAGTCATTCCCTTGATCCAATAAAGATGCCCTGCTGAAACACCTTGAGTCCTGTTTAGAGAACAAGAAATAAGAAATTTCAAGACATAGGAAAATTCAGTCGCTGTCTGTATTTACATCACAAGCCCAGGATTATTGGGTAAATTCACTCAAATATTTTAAATCACCTGAATTTAGCCATCTCAATACTTATTTTATTCTGGGATGCAATCATTAGATAATTGAGAACAGGTGAATTTCACGACTGATTTGTGTTTTACAAGAATCACCTTGTAAAGGTGACGTAGGATAGGCCAAGGGCATAAGCAAGGACAGTTCTAGCATCTCACTTCAGAAACTGAACCAGCATAGCACTATTGATGGAGGAGTCAGAAGATGCAACTGACTTCCTGCTTTGACCTGTGGCTCCATTACCTTGTCAGGAACATGTTGCGAATTATAAGGGCCTATGGGGTTGAACATAATGTGAGCAAGTAGATGAACCTGATGTCGGTGCCACAGCCCAGCCCGCCTTCTCAGGATCTCGGGTGCCTCCTGGTGAGGGAGAGTATTCTAGCTCAGAGCTGCAGCCACTAGAAATGGGAGCTGAAGCAGGGCTAGAAATGGGTAGCAGGCCTGCAAATGGCTGGCCAGGACCTCTTGCTGAGGTGATACAGGTGCATACGACTGTGGGAGGTTCAGTTCTTTGAGGTCGTTTTATTTTTTGCATGTTCCTAGAAGTTCCATTTGCAATATCCAAAAAACAACCACCTGGAAGCAACCTAAAAGTCCCACTGATGAACGATTAAACACAGTTTGGACTCCCCGTACAGTGGAATATTGAGCAACCAGAGGAACAGACTTATGGATACTTCAAAACAATTATGTTGCACTAACCGGTTGGCTCAGTGGATGGAGCGTGGGCCTCTGGACTGAAGGGTCCCGGGTTTGATTCCAGTCAGAGGCATGTACCTGGGTTGCCGGCACATCCCCAGTGAGGGGTGTGCAGGAGGCAGCTGATCGATGCTTCTCTCTCATCGGTGTTTCTAACTCTCCCTCTCCCTTCCTCTCTATAAAAATTCAATTAAAAAAATTATGTGTGAAAGAAGGCAGATAAAAAGCGTTCATACAGTTAGAGTCTGTTCATAAAATACAGACTAATCTGTGGTGACAAGGCAGTTGGGTGCCTGCTTAGGATGTATGGAGCATGCTCTGTGCTCGGGCGGCTAGAATGAGCTGGAAAGAGCCTCCACGTCCTTGCTTTCTGCTCACGTGGAGATCGCCGTCCCCCCACCGCCTCACTTTCCACACCCGCTTCCTTCTCCACAGGCACCGCCACCTGCCGGGTGCGCGCTGAGCCCCGAGGCCCTTCGCTCTGTACGGACACCGCACTCCCCCAAGATGGCCGCGCCCGCGGCGCTCCCGCCTCGCGGCGCCAACCCCACGCGGTTTTAGCGCCCCGCCTGCTTTTTCGTCAAACGAGCTTACGTTTTTATGCGGCCTCTAAATCTCTTCGCAATTAGGCTAGCGTCTGAGGTGTCCGAAGTTATTTTCCTTTCCCACCGAGCTGAGGCGTAACGGCCGCTCGGAATGTACGCGGGGCCCTTTTGGTCCTGATGGGCTCCGGCCTTTGAAAAATAGGCTTCGTTCAGTGTCCCCTCCAACAAATGCATTTACCCGCACGTCACGGGCCTTCTGTGACCTCAGGCCTCCGAAAACCTCTCCACATTCCTATCAGGGCTGCCGGGCCGGCCGCTGAGCAAAAGCCTTCTGTACGTCAGGTGTGCAAAGATGGCGGCCCCCAGGGTGCCGAGGCGGCGGCGGCGCGTGTACATTACGTCATAAGGGAACGCCGGGAACCCGTATTCCGTTCTCCATAGAAACGCAGCAGAAACCCCTCGCGCCTTCGCGGGGCATTCAGGAGCGGAGGCCAGAAGGGAGCAGTTTAGGGAAGTGAGTGAGGCCTCCAGAGGTCGCTGCGGGCCCCGGAGGGAGCCGATCGGGTCCGCGCGTGGTTGTGTCCGTCGGTGCTAGGTGTGTGGCAGCCCCTGTGAGTCGGTGAAGGTAGCGCCGCGCGGGGAGCACGGACGGATCTCCTGGGTGTCTGTGAACGGGGTGTCTTTGGGGTCAGTCGTGGGGGTGGAGGTGGGGGGGTCGTCGCTGGTGGTCAGATCAACGACCGAGAGGTCGGGGCTCAGGGTCTTCGCGGGCCGCTGCCTGCCGGTGACTGACAGCTCGCGGGCTGGAGTTTGTCAATGACACGGCCTCGCGTCCGGGTCAGGCTCTGTGGTAACTCGGAGGCAGTGATGGGGGAATCGTTAAGGGGGGTCAGTGTACGCGGGCATCTGGTCTGGTTTGGGTACTAACCCCGTGGCGGGGGTGGGGTGGGGGTAGGAGGGGGAGCTCTGTCTTCTGTGCTGAGATGTGTGCCGGCCAAAGGCTTGCAGGCTCAGGCTCCTGGACCAAGTCTCTCCACCACATCATCCCATTCCTTTCAACCCACAGAAGTAAAAGTTTTGGGGGTAGGTGAACCAGTCAGCATATTTAAAATTAATAAGATTTTCATTTAAGAGTCTGTTTTCATCCTCCTCCTGCAAGTTTACTGTAAATTTTCTTTCAGGTTCTGTGTATGAATATACAACGGCTATTTTCTCCGTACTTAACCTTTTTTAACTTTTAAAAATTTGTATTTATAGCTTCTATTCCTTCTCTCTCCTTTTTCCCTGTGTTCATTGTTCCTCAATGAAGTGTGTTTATAAACAGGGTATATAAAGACTTTTTTAAAGTTTTTATGATTTTTAAAAATGTATTTTTAGATACATTTTTATTGATTTCAGAGAGGAAGGGAGAGGGGGAGAGAGAGATAGAAAGAGCAATGATGAGAGGGAATTACTCATTGGCCGCCTCCTGCACCCCCCACATGGGATCAAGCCCCCAACCCCAGGCAGGTGCTCTGACCAGGAATGGAACCGTGACCTCCCGATTCATAGGTTGACTCTCAACCACTGAACCACGCCAGCCAGGCTATAGTTTAAAGGAAAGATTTACAGTTCCTCACTGTCCCTACGACCTCATTTCTATAATTGTTCTGAAAATTACCTTCCACTGAGGCACAGTGCTGTGCTGTTCTCCTTTGCCATTTTCTCTCTCACATTCAAACTACTTATATCTTCAGGGTCTTATGTTTCATTACCTCAGGCGTGATCTCTAGGGAACTAACTAAAGAGCCAAAATACTGGGGACCATGTGTTAAGTGTGTCTAGCAAGGGGAATGTAACCCTGAACGTAATCTTGCTCTTCCTCCCATAGGTTTTGACAAGAAATAAGAAAAGAATGAAGAAAGAGGAGGTTCCAGGACCTAGAAGTTGTCCTTTCTGGGAACACTTTCAACTGGAGAGTGAGATTTTTAACTAGAAATTTAGGACATACCAAGAGAAGACAAAGACGAGTATACCAGCTGCTGGCCATTTCCCCAAACAGAAGGAATGACCCAGGCCCAGGTGACGTTTGTTTTTTTCTCTCCTTTGTTCCCTAATGGATTTGTAGTGGCCTGTAAAAATCAGTTCAGTATCCAGAGTGAAATAAACTTTGGATCTAACTCCAACATCAGGGCAAATTAGGATCAAGAATAAAGTATTCATGCCCTAGCCTGTTTGGCTCAGTGCAGAGAGCGTCCACCTGCGGATCAAAGGGTTCCAGGCTGGATTCCGGTTAAGGGCACATACTTTGGTTGTAGGCTCCTCCCCAGGAGGCAACCAATCGATGTGTTTCTCTTACATCTATGTTTCTCTTTCCTTCTCTCCTCCACTCTCTCTAAAAATCAACGAAAAAATATCCTAAGGTGAGGATTAACAAAACAATAAAAAAAGAATATAGTATTCATATGATTCTGAGTAAATGACTAATGTTAGCATGTAACATATAATTGAAGGATCCTCTGGGCTACATTAGCTGTTAGCTTGTGTCTAATGTCTATGGCAGCCGACACAAGAGAATCATGCTACATTATATGATATGTATCATGTACTGTGAGGAGACAGCAGACGGTTCCTCGGAATGTCAATATTTCTTAGCACTGAGGTCTCAGGAAAAATGTTACACTAGTATTCTTCCTAGAGGTGATGGGTGGACAGTGTTTTGAACTTCTAATAAAGGCAGAGGCAGATTTCACACTGCTGTTTATTCCAGGGTTCCTCACAGACCCATTAGGGAAGAGACCAAGCAAACTCAGTGAACACAGTTTTGTCAGGGACCAAGGAAAGTCAGTCAGAGGACTCAGCCTGTGTCTGGTTTTATCCAGTAATAAAACCTAAGTGGCCTAGGAAAATGGGAGGATTGCATGACTTTCTTTTTTTAAAAATTTTTTTTATTGATTTATTGAGAGAGAGAGAGAGAGAGAGAGAGAGAGAGAGAGAGAAAGAGAAGAAACATTAATTTGCTATTCCGCTCATTCACACATTCATTGGTTGTGCCTTGACTGGGATTGAACCTGAAACATTAATGTATCGGACAGTGCTCCAACCAGCTGAGCTACCCAGCCAGGACGCATGGCTTTCACATGTTCTCCCGTCAACAGGTAGCTGAACTGTTAAAGTTCAGATTTGGCCTTAGATAGTTGCAAGAAATTTTGTCTGATAAGAGCTTGAGTTATTGGGTTCCAGAGTGTGTGCTTTATAACTTCAACGTCATGTTGGAAAATATAGAATCCGTCCCCATTTTCAAATCCAATTCTGACCTCTTTCTTTGCTTTTCTATAATTATGCAAATTACTCACAGATACCTGTTTTTAAAAATATGATTTTATTGATTCGAGGGAGAGAGAGATAGAGAAACAGAAACACTGGCTAGGGTTCACATACATTTTAAAGAAAAAAATATTCAATGATGAGTGTCCGTGGGCAAAAAGTAAATTTCCTCTTTATAGCGCCTTTCTTCATTGTCCCCTCATATTGTTTAACAAATGTTTGCCAGTGTGTTTTGCTGTCACTAAACTTATGTGTGCATCTACATATATGTGCCTATTTACCGATGTATGTGAATTTGTGTACATATCTGAGTATATTAACTCATCTATTGTGACATTTATGTATCAATGATACATTTATGTATCAATGGACTCATACTTCAAAGAACATGACCTGTTGGCCTATGATAGTGTAATTTAAGCATCTAAAGGAATAATGACAGCAATTGATTGGTGGATATTATCTATATATATAATTCCATTTGTCCACAGTCATACTAAAAAAAAAATGAATTGCACTATGTAAAGCATTTAGATGCGTGCCTACTACATAGTATGTGATATGTGGGATCATCCACACCTTAAATCTTTGCCAGTACTTAATAGGACATTATAAAATTTCATAATTTTCAGAATCTGAATGGCCCAATATTCTTTACCCGTATTTTTCATTTTCCTCAGCACAGGTGAGGTTGAAATCCTTGTGTATTTTGTGGTCACTTGGATTTTTTTCTCTTGTGAAATGCCTGTCCTTATCATTTTTACATTTTAAAAAAACTATATTTTCTTACTGATTAATAAGTATGATTTATATCCAGTATATGTTGATCATTTTGTTTATTAAAAATATTTTCCTAGCTTGTTAGTTTTCTTTTAGCTTTGTCCATGATATCTGTGTAATGCAGGTGCTTTAAATTTTCCTCTCACAAAACTTTTTTCTTTTCTTTCTTTTTCTTGGTTTTGTTATTCCTCACCTAAGGATATTTGTTCCATTGATTTTCAGAGAGTGGAAGGGAAGGAGGGAGGGGGTGAGAGAGAAACATCAATGTGAAAGAGACACATCGATTGGTTACCTCCCACATGCGCCTGACTGGGCTGGGGATGGAACCTGCAACCCAAGCACGTGCCCTTGACAAGAAATCAAACCCTCGACCCTTCAGTGCTCGGGCCAGTGCTCTGACCACTGAACACACCAGCCAGGGCTTGTTATTGATTTTCTGTGATTTTTTTTTTTGGGGGGGGGGGCTTTGATGTGAACATACTTCATACTCTCCTCTCTCTATTCCTTTCATAGATTACCTTATTTTATGGTTAGCACTTTAAAACAGGAAAAAAGTATTTGAACCTAAGTTTTCATTTTTCCAAATGAATCTGCATCTCACATGAAATAACTCAAAATGTGGTCAGATCAGCGGTGTTAAGAATTTGCAAGTCTGCTCTCTTTTCTATGTAGTAATGTCTGCAATAACATGGAAAAGAGTATCCCATAGTTTTTCCCTCTCTGGCTGCTCAGTTGACAAGCAGGTCTCAATTTATTTTCTGGTGACATTTGAGCTTAGGCTGCAAGACCACAGGATCAGGACATTGAAGATATTCCACACTTCTGGGCTGATTTTTTTAAAATATATTTTATTGATTTTTTACAGAGAGGAAGGGAGAGGGAGAGTTAGAAACATCGATGCGAGAGAAACATCGATCAGCTGCCTCCTGCACACCCCCACCTGGGGATGTGCCCGCAACCAAGGTACATGCCCTTGACCAGAATCGAACCTGGGACCCTTCAGTCCGCAGGCAGACGCTCTATCCACTGAACCAAACCGGTTAGGGCTTTCTGGGGTGTTTTTATTCATAGCACTTCTGACACCAAATGTGTGGTCATTTTTCTCACATCTACCCATTCTACAACTCTCGGGACACCAGCTGGGTGTCTGACAATTCAACTCAGTTCTGACACTGACTACCTGGGGGCAGCGTCAGGTCCCACAGGTTAGGTGGTAAGTCCCACAAGACTGACCCCACTTTAGGTGCCAGTCGGAAGTCCCAGGTTGTCACCTCTACTTCTGATGACCAGCTCTAAATCTGGGGTCCCACAACCTCCTTCTCAGGATTGGTAATTTGCTGGAATGACACACAGAACCCGGGAAAGCACTTCACTAGTTTATTATAAGGGCCACAACTCAGGAATAGCCACCTGGGAGAGATGCGAAGGGTAAGGCCTGGGGGAAGGGTGCAGAGGGCCTCTCGGGAGCACCACCCGGCCAGCATCTCAGTGTGTTTACCACCCCGGAAGCTCTCCAGACCTGTAGTTTAGGGGGTTTTATGATGTCAGCATGGTTGATGAAATCACTGGCCATTAGTGATGGGACTCAACCTCCAGTCCCCCATCCTGAAGCCATCTAGGAACCCCCAGTCACTAGTCATCTCATTAGCATACAGAAGACACTCATCAGAGAGTCCAAGAGTTTTAGAAGTTGTGCCATGCCCTAGCCCAGTGGTCGGCAAACTACGGCTTGTGAGCCACATGCGGCTCTTTGGCCCCTTGAGTGTGGCTCTTCCACAAAATACCAACTTCTGCGCATGGGCCACGAAGTTTCAATCGCACTGTACGTGCGCGCCCGCACGTGGTATTTTGTGGAAGAGCCACACTCAAGGGGCCAAAGAGCCGTATGTGGCTCACAAGCCGTAGTTTGCCGACCACTGCCCTAGCCGGTTTGGTTCTGTGGATAGAGTGTCGGCCTGCAGACTGAAGGGTCCCGGGTTCAATTTCAGTCAAGGGCACATGCCTAGGTTGCAGGCTCGATCCCCAGTAGAGGGCATGCCAATCAATGATTCTCTTTCATCATTGATGTTTCTATCTCTCCCTCTCCCTTCCTCTCGGAAATCAATAAAAATCTATAAAAAAAAAAAAGAAAGAAAGAAAAAAAGAAAGAAAGAGAAACTGTGCCAGGAACCAGGGACAAAGACCAAATATGTTTCTCGCAACATTTTTTTCTGGCTTCTGTTGCCTTTATTTCAGTAAATGTTGTCTTTCTTTTGATAGTAATTTATCTTTTCTTCCTGGTTGTTTTTATAATCTGATTTTTTGCAGCTGGTATGCTGTCGTTTCAGCTGGAAGTGTCTACATGCAGATTTCGTGCCTGGCTTTGCTGGGTTACTGAGTCTGAGTTATAGGAAGTTTAATCAGTTCTGACATTTTCTCATTCTTGAGATCTTCGTATCACTTCTCTGTTTCTGTATAATCTCTTCCAAAAACTGCATACAGGCCTATGCTAGACCTTGCTCTATCCATATTTATTAAACTCTCCTTTATATTTTCCATCTATTTCTGGGGCTGCTTCATTTTGGGTTATTTTTAAAAATGCATATTCCACTTTACTCATTATCTCCCCAGTGTATCTAATATGTTAACCTTTTGTGAAATAAGAAATATATACATTGGGCCCTGGCCAGCTAGCTCAGTTGGTTAGAGCATTGTCCCGATATGCCAAGGTTGTGGGTTTGATCCCCTGTAAGGGAACATAAAAGAAGCAACCAATGAATGCATAAATAAGTGAAACAACAAATTGACCTCCCTTCTTCTTCTTTTTCTTCTTCTTCTTCTTCCTCTTCCTCTTCCTCTTCCTCCTCTTCCTCCTCTTCGTCCTCTTCTTCTTCCTCCTCCTCCTCCTCCTCCTTCTTTCTCTCTCTCTCTCTCTCATATTAATTTAAAAAAATTTTTTTAAACCACACTCACATTATAATTGGTGTCAGAAGTGTAGTTAATATGAACAGGACAACTTCCTTTATATTATTTATGGCCAGTAAAAGAAAAACACTCCCTAGTAAACAGGACCATGTTGTTACAGGAACCGCTGACACTGGAGGATGTGGCCGTGGACTTCACCTGGGAGGAGTGGCAGCTCCTGGGCCCTGATCAAAAGATCCTGTACAGGGATGTGATGTTGGAGACCTACAGCCACCTCTTGTCAGTGGGTGAGGACAGCTCCCGTGTGTTAGTCAGAGGGCACCCGGTCAGTGGTCTTTCCTTTCCCAGCTGCGTATACTTGGGAGTCACTGCAGTGCTCTGAATGGCAGGTTCTCAGTGCCTCCTCTGGCTCCGGATAAAGACATATAATATACTATGAGCTCCACCAACACAACTGATACCAACTGTGTGGGGGTTTTCTACACCAGCAGTAAATTCTCCAGGTACCAACTGCGTGTCCTGCAGCTCAATTCAATTCTGTTTTGACACTAGAATGGCTCCTAGAACTCAGGAAGGCACTTATTACCATTATCAGTTTATTATAAAGTTAAAAAAAAAAAAAACCACTTAGAAACAGCCAAGTGGAAGAGGTATTTAATATATTTATTGATTTTTTTACAGAGAGGAAGGGAGAGGGATAGAGAGTTAGAAACATCGATGAGAGAGAAACATCGATTGAGCTGCCTCCTGCACACCCCCTACTGGGGATGAGCCCACAACCAAGGTACATGCCCTTGACCGGAATCGAACCTGGGACCCTTCAGTCCACCGGCTGACACTCTATCCACTGAACCAAACTGGTTTGGAAGAGATATTTAGGGCAAAGTGTGGAGAAAGGGGTGTGGACCTTCCATGCCCTCTCTAGGCACACCACCCTCCCAGAATCTCAAAGTGGTCATCAAGCTGGTAGCTCTCCCATCCAGGTATTTAGGGATTTTTAGGGAAAGTCCATCATGTAAGCATGCTTGCGTAAATTCTTGGCCATCGGTGATTCATTCTATCTCCAACCCTCTCCCTCTCCACAATGAGGAGAAGGGTTGGAGTTGAAGGTTCCAGCCCTCTAGTCGTGTCTTTGTCTTCCCGGATCAGTCCCACCCTGAAGCTATCTACAGCCTCCAGCCACCAGTCATCTCCTTAGCACACAGAAGGCACTCATTACTCTGAAGAGCCCAGGGGTGTTAGCAGTTCCAGTGTCAGGGACTAGAACGTACACTATCCGAAAAGATGCTCCTATTATGCTGTTCACAGGAAATTACAAGGGCTTTAGGAGCTCTGTGCCAGAACCTGCACAGAGACCAGACATAAGTCACCGTGTCACATGCGCTCTCTCCTGAGAGCAAAGTCTCTGACATGTGCGAACTGTCTCGTCCCTTAAACATAACATTCTTCCAACCCAGGGGTGGGCAAACTTTTTGACTCGAGGGCCACAATGGGTTCTTTTTTTTTTTTTTTTTAATATATTTTATTGATTTTTTACAGAGAGGAAGGGAGAGAGATAGAGAGTCAGAAACATCGATGAGAGAGAAACATCGATCAGCCGCCTCCTGTACATCCCCCACTGGGGATGTGTCCGAAACCCAGGTACATGCCCTTGACCGGAATCGAACCTGGGACCTTTCAGTCTGCAGGTCGATGCTCTATCCATTGAGCCAAACCGGTTTCGGCCACAATGGGTTCTTAAACTGGACCGGAGGGCCGGAACAAAAGCATGGATGGAGTGTTTGTGTGAACTAATATAAATTCAAAGTAAACATCATTACATAAAAGGGTACGGTCTTTTTTTTTTTTTTAGTTTTATTCATTTCAAACTGGCCGGATCCGGCCCGCAGGCCGTAGTTTGCCCACGGCTGTCCCAACCCAAGTTTTCTGTCGTTTCCTATGAACAGGGTATCAAGTCAGCAAACCAGATGCTCTCTCCAAGTTGGAACTAGGGGAAGAAACGTGGACAATAGACAATGAACTCCACAGACTAGTCTGTCCAGGTGAGTGGGTGTGAACAAACAAGGCAGGTGTGGGGGAGGAGAATCATTTTCCTTTTTCCCTTCTAAGTTCTTCTGGAGGAGCTAATAATCTAATTGACATGAAACAGATTAAAAGGAGGAAATAACCAAATTTATTTTGTATGTACGTACAGGGGCTCTATAAGAATATGGGGCCCAAGGACAAATCAGGCCACTGAGGTAGGAATAATGAGGAGAGCAGGGTTGTGATGTGGGCTTCAAAGGAGAGGAAGTCAATCCACATGGAGATGGCAAAGCCAATATTTGGTAAATAAATGTTTGCTGGGCATCTTTAACAATGGGACCCAGAGAGGAGTTGGATTAAAGGGCCTCGCCAAAAATAGATCCAGAGACAAATGGCAGGGGAGGTGCGGGCAGGGCAGTTAGAGAGCAACCAACGGACGTGTATGCATGCATATTAGCATAACCAATGGACATAGACACTGGGGCGGTGGGGGCTTGCTGGGGTGAGAATGACTGGGTCGGGGGGTTGTCAATGGGCGGGGGGAGACATATCTAAAACTTTAGACAATTTAAAAAAAAGGGGAGGGGGGCCTTGCTAGGTTCCTCCCTGTCTATCACACCTAGTTCATATTAAACTGTAGTTATCTGTGATGGTATCGCCCTTCTTGGAGCAAGCCCTCTATCTAAATTCTTACAGGCAGTGAAGGCCAATGTCAAAGCTTTTTCTTGTGTCTTTCTTTTCTTGAAAATAGCCAGCTTAAAATAAGCAATATTTAGATGGCAAAATCTGCTTCCCCTCATGGGTTACTGCAGAAGTCATATTCTAGTCAGAGAAGTCTGGGCAGGGGGAGGGGTGTTTGAGGATACAGAAACAGTGCCCTATATCCCTCTCCATAGCAGAACTTTTCTTTAGGTCTTTAAAGGGACATAAACTGCCCTAACTGGTTTGGCTCAGTGGATAGAGCTTCGGCCTGCCGACTGAAGGGTCCCAGGTTCGATTCCTTGGTTGCGGGTACATCCCCAGTAGAGGGTGTGCAGGAGGCAGCTGATCGATGTTGTTTCTCTCTCATCAGTGTTTCTAACTCTTTATCCCTCTCCCTTCCCCTCTGTAAAAAAATCAATCAAATATATTTTAATAAATAAAGGGTCATAAACCTTTTCCCCTCTTTTCTCTGAGAGCTGATCCTCGCTTATTTTGCCGAACATCTTGATTTTTGTTTGCTAGATTTCTCCTTCCTTGAACTCTATGAGCTACCCCTTCTCTGTACCTTGTCACAGTGTCTCTCTCTGTTCCACCTCCCTGGCTATGAAATTCCCACTTCATTTCTCCCTGGTTCTTTTGTGTATGTGTGTGTGTGTTTTCTACCTCCATTTTTATATTTCCTATCTCTTTGCTGAAGTTTTCAGTAAGTCCCTCTACTCTTCCTGTAAGTTTATTGAGCATCCTCATAACCAGTGTTTTGAACTCTGCAGCTGGTAGATTGCCTGTCTCCGTTTTGTTCCTTTTTCTAGAAGTTTGTTGTTCTTTCATTTAGGACCTGTTTCTTGGTCTCCTCATTTTGGCAGCCTCCCTATGTTTGTTTCTGTGTATTCGGTAGAACTGCTGCACTTCCTGTCTTGGCAGAGTGGCCTTATGTAGTAGGTGCCCTGTAGGACCCAGTGGTGCAGCCTCCCCAGTCATGTGAGCTGGTCACTTCAAGTTTGTCCCGTAGATGAGCTGTGTGAATTCTCCCGTTGTAGTTGAGCCTTGATTGTTGTTGGCACATCAAGGGGAGAGATTTACTCCCAGGCCAATTGCCTACAAGGACTGGCTGCTATCACCATGGAGAACTCACATCAGCAGTGCTCAGGTACCCGCCAAGTTCACCCTATATACCAGGTATGTCTACATTTTTAATTAGGAAGATGATGCTGTGAATTAGTTATGAAGGCATGAAACACATGAGGAAACATGCTAGGGCATGGGGTTGACTATCAAAAGAGTGGCCTCAAGTCAGGCAGATGACAGCCACTGTTAGAAGCTCTCTGCAGGGAAAAGAGTGGAGTGGAAACCTGGATAAATGGAGCATTCATGTTGATGTACACTGTTATTGCTAGGATGGCCCTAGCCGGTTTGGCTCAGTGGATAAAGCGTCAGCCTGCAAACTGAAAGGTCCTAGGTTCGATTCCGGTCAAGGACACATGCCCGGGTTGTGGGCTCGGTCCCCAGTGGTTGGGGGCTTGCGGGAGGCAGCCAGGATGACTGACTGGATTTCATATGAGTTGAAGTAGCATGGTGGAGAGTTGGTTGGTTTTGTATTTTTGTAACTCTACATTGTCTTTCCTTTTACCTGATTTTAGTAGTATAGCAATAATAAGGAACAAGCAGACGTTCTAAGAAATATTGAAGATAAAACTAACACAACCTAGATCTTCAAGGAGGAAGTTAGTCCTTTAGTACAACCTAACTGTTGCCAACGAGACATAAATATAGAATTACTGAAGTAGATGCTGGTGGCAAGTGAGGGAACAAATATATCAGGGACACTAAAATGGGAAAATGTTGGGTATGACTTTTGTACTGAATGCCGAATGTGATTGCAAAAAGGTGACAGTTGCCATATTCCATGTAGCACTTGAGCTTCTGAAGATGACTGTGAGGTACACTGGCCAGCTGCAAAATTTCCTATCAATCATTGTTGTCCTATTTTGTTATCAGTAGAACATATGATAATATGACACAGCTCAGCTAAAAGGCTGGAGTGGTGATTATATGAGTTCCACGCAATGTTTCTTGGTGGTGTTACTTGCTTGGTGGTCTAGAGAAGGGCAAATTTAGGAACAGGATTATGATGTGAGAGTCTGTCTCAATTCACTTTAATCCAAATTCTGAAGACCTTATAGTCTTACTTGCTAGGTAATATGTTTATTCTTTACACCCCCGTATGTATTTTCTCTGACTCCATAGTCAGAATTCAGTGCCTCTAAGGGGACTTTAAAGAATCCCAAAATCCTAAATATTGAAATATCTAAAACCCTAGTTTGTACATTTATCATCTTTCATACTACATGTCCTCCCAACATATGAGCCAGTTCTCTCGTCTTGAATATCAGTATATGTTGATTATCTCCACATTTTTTAAAAAATATATTTTTATTGATTTCAGAGAGAGAGGGAGAGAAACATTAATGATGAGAGAGAACCATTGATCGGCTGCCTCCTGCACGTCCCCCACTGGGGATCAAGCCCACAACTCAGGCATGTGGTCTTGACCAGAATTGAACCCAGGACCCTTCAATCCGCAGGCCAGTGCTCTAGCCACTGAACCAAACCAGCTAGGGCAACTTTGCCATTTCTTTATGCAAATATATCCTGATTTCCTCCACTTTCCACCATCTCCATTGCTCCTTTAGTCCATGTTTAATAATCTCCAACTCCTTACTTTTTTTTTTCTTTTCAATTTTCCCTAGATTTTAACTAGATTTAAGATAAGTAAAAGTAAGGCCTATTGTGTATATATATTCCAAACCACCAGCACAATACCTGGTACAGGGAGCCATTCAATAAGTAATTTTGGTCTGAACAAATGCAACCCTCATCATCTGGATTAGTTTTCCACCTCTGGGATCTGGGTCTTTCTAAGTTCTGTGGAAAGGTATTCCTCCAAACCTTGTCCTTTGCTGCATAAAAATGACTTGCTTGGATTTTACTTTCTCTACATGTTTTGAAAGGTCCAAAAGCAGCTAAATCTACATTAATTGCCAACTACCTTAGTGGTAACCTTAGTGGTATACCGCTTTTTCCTGTTGGTTGGTTTATATTATGGTGTTTGTACCAATGTGTAAGAAATAAGGGACACTTACACATGGTGTATTTTTTCATAGTGTCACCACAGGATTGTCACTAAAGTGCCATTAAAAAAATAATTAATTAATTAATTAAAAGTTTAATTCCAAACACGATTATAAAAAAAAGATTCATTGTTTTCTTTCCTAGACACTGGAAAAGTTGATAATTATCTCCAGGATCACTGGGAAAATCAAAGAATGTTGGAAGGTATGGAACAAATGCACAAACAAGATACATTTGGAAATATTGTTCCTCAAAGCAAAAGGCATTTTCCTTTCAGGCAAAATCATGGTGTGTTTGACTTCTACATGAAAACTCTGAAATCAAATTTAAGTTTAGTCAAACAGAGTAAAAGCTATGAAACTAAGAACTCTGCTAAGTTGAATGGAGATGGAAAATCATTTCAGCATGGCAAACATGATTTTCATCTTGCAGTTAAATTCCCTGTCAGTGCAAAACCCATTAGCAATAAGTCCCAGCTCATTAAGCATCAGGGAACTCAGGAGGTAGAGAAAGCCCACGTGTGCAGTGAATGTGGAAAAAGCTTTGCTAAGAAGTCTCAGCTCACTGATCACGAGAGAATTCACACAGGAGAGAAACCTTACAGTTGTAGTTTGTGTGCAGAAGTCTTCTCCAGAAAGTCCAGGCTCAATGATCATCAGAAAATTCATGAAAAAGAGAAATCCTTTATATGCAGTGACTGTGGCAAAGTCTTCACCATGAAGAGCCGTCTGATTGAACACCAGCGAACTCACACTGGAGAGAAACCCTATGTGTGCAATGAATGTGGAAAAGGCTTCCCAGGAAAGCGTAATCTCATTGTACATCAACAAAATCATACTGGAGAGAAATGCTATGTCTGTGGTGAATGTGGGAAAGGCTTCACTGGGAAAAGCAGGCTCATCATACATCAGCGAACGCATACTGGAGAGAAACCCTACACCTGCAGTGACTGTGGGAAAGCTTTCACCACGAAGCACTATGTCCTCATACACCAACGAAATCATACAGGAGAGAAACCATACGTATGCAATGAGTGTGGGAAAGGATTCACCATGAAGAACCGTCTGATTGAACACCAGCGAACTCACACTGGAGAGAAACCCTATGTGTGCAGTGACTGTGGAAAAGGCTTTACCAGGAAGAGTAACCTCATTGTGCATCAGAGAAATCATACGGTAGAGAAATCCTATGTATGTGACGAATGTGGAAAAGGCTTCACGGTGAAGAGCATGCTTATCATACATCAGCGAACGCATACTGGAGAGAAACCCTACACCTGCAGTGACTGTGGGAAAGCTTTCACCACAAAGCACTATGTCCTCATACACCAACGAAATCATACAGGAGAGAAACCATACGTATGCAATGAGTGTGGGAAAGGATTCACCATGAAGAACCGTCTGATTGAACACCAGCGAACTCACACTGGAGAGAAACCCTATGTGTGCAGTGACTGTGGAAAAGGCTTTACCAGGAAGAGTAACCTCATTGTGCATCAGAGAAATCATACGGTAGAGAAATCCTATGTATGTGACGAATGTGGAAAAGGCTTCACGGTGAAGAGCATGCTTATCATACATCAGCGAACGCATACTGGAGAGAAACCCTACACCTGCAGTGAGTGTGGGAAAGGCTTCCCCTTGAAGAGTCGGCTGGTTGTACATCAGCGAACACATACTGGAGAGAAACCATACAGATGCAGTGAATGTGGGAAAGGATTCATCGTGAATAGTGGGCTGATGTTACACCAGCGAACTCATACTGGAGAGAAACCCTATATATGCAATAAATGTGGAAAAGGTTTTGCCTTTAAGAGCAACCTTACAGTACATCAGCGGACTCATACCGGGGAGAAACCCTTTTCGTGCAGTGAATGTGGAAAAGGCTTCACCATGAAACGCTATCTCCTCGTACATCAGCAAATTCATACAGAAGAGAAATCCTATATGTGTGGTGAATGTGGAAAAGGCTTTGCCATGGAAACTGAGCTCATTTTACATCAGCAAATCCATACTGGAGAGAAACCTTATGCGTGCAATGCATGCGGGAAAGGCTTTGCTGTGAAAAGTCGTCTAATCGTCCATCAACGAACTCACACCGGAGAGAAACCTTTTGTGTGCAGTGAATGTGGGAAGGGCTTCTCTTCAAAGAGGAATCTCCTTGTACATCATAGAACTCATAATGGGAACAAACCCTAACAATGCAATGAATATGGTCACACCTTCAGGGAAAATAATATGCCTTGTACAATGTCAGAGACTTCACACAAGATAGACTTCTTTTATATGTACTGATCTCATGACCCACCAGGTAAGTGACACAGTAGACAAAGTGTATGTATGCAGTTAGTCTGAGAAAGCCTTCAACATGAATTCAGCACTCATGGTATATGAAAGAACTTATAAAATAAAAGACTCTATGGATTCAATGATTGGGGTTACCTTTCATTTGTCAAGCCTTATTAATACACAAAATGTGTAGTCAAGGTACATAATCCTTTGCAGAGTCTGAATTCATTACTTACAAGTGAACTCATGCAAGGGACAAAGTCAAACCATGAGAGTTCAGTGCAGTGTGCTCCTAGCATACTTGAATATAGTCAGTGTACTTTAGTAGCCTTTTGCTAGATTTTCACTCATGGGAAATTATGGAATTTGCATAGGAGTGAAATTTAATGAATGCAAAGAATGTGCTAGTGCCTTAGGTGACAAATTACCTTACGCTGTATGTCAAAATTAATACATAAGAAAAATGCAAAAGTCTTGAGGAAACATTTCTCACATGAATAACCTTTCCCACACTCACTGCAGGTAGTGATATGTCTGACAAGATGCTAATATAAATCACATGCATAGAAACACTAGGAAAGCCTGCTGTGGGAATAAAGACTATCTCATTAGTGATCACAATAGATCATCAGTGAGCTCGTACACAGTGGTAACATGATGGTCATGGGAAAGCCTTTGTTTAGAAATAAACCTCAATAAGTTGCCTGATATTCATGCTGGAGAATAATTTTAGATGGCAAAGAATATGGCAGAATTAATCATTTCTCATGAGTTCATACAGCAATAAAACTGCTGGAAACACAATGTAGAGTGACTTCAGCAAAATATCAGAGAATTCATGAAGAAAGGTTGGAAAAATGATATCTACTTGAGTTTTCTAAGCCAAGTCTAAACTTATTATGTAACTGATGTCCATTCTGGGACAGGATACTTTGAACCATATACTTAATGGTTCCATAAATTTAAAGGTGGCAATTCTCAACACTGATTAAATGTTAATGTTATATACAAGCAGGAGTGTTCTGTGTCCACTTCGTATCATTATATGGTTAGCTCTTGCATTTCCTGGGCTCTAAATTCATCTCTTTCAATGTACTATGTACTTCAGAAGTAAAAGAAATATACTCATAAATATAATTCCACATCATTGGATGTATTTATCCAAGTTTATAAGTTTTGAAAACATCTTAAATATTTATCTTTCTGAAATTTGTTTTGGAATGATTTTAGACTCACAGGGAATTACAAATCATACAAAGTTCCTGGGGACCTTTACTCGGCCTCTTCAGTAATAGAACGTGATACATCATCAAAACCAGTAAAATGACATCAAAACCAATAAAATGCTGTTAAGTAGACTATAGACTTTATTTGGATTTCACTAGTTTTGTTATGCTTCCATTTGTGTGAGGTTTTTTGTTTTGTTTTGTTTTGTTTTTTGGTGTTGAGGTCTAAAAAATTTTATCACACGTATAGATATCTGTAAATCCCGCCACAATCAGGATGCAGAATTGTACCAACACAAAGATACATCCACCTGCTACCCCTTTATACACACGCTGTCCCCCAACCCTGACCTATGGCCACCACTGATCAGTACTCCATAGCTCTAATTTTATCATTTCTTAAAATGGAATGTATGTAACCTTTGAGCTGGGCTGTTTTCCCCCCACTCAGTAAATTGCTCTTAAGATCCATCCACTTTGTTGGGTGTATAAACAGTTTTCCTTTTTTGTTACTGAGTAGTATTTTTCAGTATGGGTGTACCATTTGTTAATCTGTTCACTGTTGATGGATGTTTGGGTTGTTTCCAGCATTTCATTGCTATGAATAAAGATGTTATCAACATTTATGTACCCAATTTTGTTTTTCTGGGATAAGCACTGAGGAGTCTTATGCTAAGATAGTGTTTAACTTTATAAGAAATGCCAAACTTTTCCATAGTGGCTGTACTAATTTACTACATCCTCACCAGCAATGTGTGAATGCTTCAGTTGTTCCATGTCCTTCCTAGCACTGGCATTGTCATATTTGATTCTTACCATCCCATCAGCTATGTGGTAGTATTTAATTAAATGATGTCCTACATACACTGAGAACCAAATCAGGTAAAGTTATCATTTTGGCTTTCAACCATCAAACATAATTTTAAAAACTCAGAGCGAGAACATGATAATCCTATATAATAAAAGCATAATATGCAAATTGACTGAATGGTGTAACAGCGGGACGACCATCCGGACAATCATCCGGGACCATGCTATGACACCCACTGGCGCCAGGCCAGCCAAGGCGGGTGCAATGTGATTGGTCAGGGCCTGGCCATCGCCCCATGATCGCCCCAAAGAGGGAGGCCCAGGCCGAGGGAAGCTGGTGCCAGCAGCCGGGGGAAAGAAGGCCTACTCTTGCACAAATTTCATGCATTGGGCCTCTAGTATATATATATATATATATATATATATATATATATATATATATATATATATATATATCTTTTAATCCTCACCCAAGGATATTTCCTCCATTGATTTTTAGGGAGAGTGGAAGAGAGAGGGAAAGACAGAAACATCAATGTTAGAGAAATGCATCGATTGATTGGCTCTTGCATGAGCCCTGACTAAGCCCAGGTCTGGGGAGGAGCTGCAACCAAGGTATAGGCCCTTGACCAGAATCAAACCCAGGTTTGCAGGCTGACACTCTATCCATTGAGCCAAATCTGCTAGGGCTCTGTGTGTGTGTGTATCCTATCTAATAAAAGATAAAAAGGGTAATTAACCGTACCTTCGCTACGCTTCCCATTGGCTAATCAGGGTGATATGCAAATTAACCTCCAACAAAGATGGCAGCTGGCAGCCACGCAGCTGAAGTGAGCAGGAGGCTTGCTTGCTCCAGTGATGGAGGAAGCCAAGGTTTCCCACCTGCCGTGGCCTGGCTCTGAGCTCCGAAAGCAACGAAGTTTCAATTATAGAAGCTAAACAAACCCCAGATACCTGCTTTCAGCAGGCAGTGGCCTCAGAGCTGGAGCCAGCTCTCAGCTTCAGTGACAGCAAAAAAGTTTTAATTATAGAATAAATCCCAGAATAAAAAAAAGAAAAGAAAAAAAAAGAAGAGGCTGGGAGCTTCAGTCGCCGGCCAGCCTGAAAATGGCCCTCAGCCCCTCACCCAGACTGGCCAAGCACCCCAGTGGGGACCCCCACACTAAAGGGGGTGCGGGCAGCCTGAAAATGGCCCTCAGCCCCTCACCCAGGCTGGCTAGGCACCCCAGTGGGGACCCCCACCTTGAAGGGGGTGTGGCCAGCTTGAAAACAGCCATCAGCCCCTCACCCAGGCTGGCCAGGCACCCAAGCGGGACCCCCACCCTGATCCAAGACACCTTTCAGGGCAAACCAGCCAGCCCCCACCCCTGCACCAGGCCTCTATCCTATATAGTAAAAGGGTAATATGCCTCCCAGCACCGGGATCAGCGGAGCAGTGAGGCCTCCCAGCACTGGGATCAGCGGAGCAGCGAGGCCTCACTGCCCCTGTGTCAAGCGGAGCCACGAGGCCTCCCAGCACCGGGATCAGCGGAGCAGCGAAGCCTCCTAGCACTGGGATCAGCGGAGCCAGGAGGCCTCTTGGCCCATGGAGCAGCGTGACGGGGCAGCGCCCAAACCCCGATTGCCCTGCGGTTCTGTGTGTGACAGGGGGCGGGGCCACAACCTCCCTATCCGCCCTGCTCTGTTCCTGACGGGAAGGCGCCCCAACCCCCTGATCGGCTCTTCTCTGTGTGTGACAGGGTGCAGCGCCCCTACCCCCCCCATGGGCCCTGCTCTGTGTGTGACGGGGGGAGTGCTCCAACCCCCTGATTGGCCCTGCTCTGTAGGTGACAGGGGGCGGCGCCCAAACCTCCCCATCGACCCTGCCTTGAGTGTGACGGGGCCGCGCCCCAACCCCCCAATCGACCCTACCCTGAGCATGACTGAGGGTGGCATCGTAACCTCCTGATCAGCCCTGCTCTGTGCGTTACAGGGGGGAGCTCCCCAACCCCCTGATCGGCCCTGCTCTGTGTGTGACGGGGGAGCTCCCCAACCTCCTGATCGGTCCTGCTCTGTGTGTGACAGGGTACAGAGCCCCAACCCCCCTGATGGGCCCTCCTCTGTGCGTGACAGGGGGCAGCGCCCCAACCCCCTGATCGGCCGGCTCTGTATGTGACAGGGGTGGCACCACAACCCCCTGGTCCGCCCTGCTCTGTGCGTGACAGGGGGTGGTGCCCCAACCTCCCTGTCGACCCTGCCTTGGGTGTGACAAGGGGCGGCGCCCCAACCCCCAATCGGCCCTACCCTGAGCGTGACTGAGGGTGGCATCGCAACCTCCTGATCCGCCCTGCTCTGTGCATGACAGGGGGCGGTGCCCCAACTCCCCAATCAGCCCTGCTCTGAGCCCGACCAGGAGCTGCGGGGCAGGCACCTAGGGATTGGGCCTGCCCTCTGCCACCCGAGAGCGGGCCTAAGCCAGCAGGTCGTTATCTCCCAAGGGGTCCCAGACTGTGAGAGGGCACAAGTGGGGTTGAGGGACACCCCCACCCCCCGCCAGTGCACAAATTTTTGTGCACCGGGCCTCTAGTAAAGATATACTTACAATGGAGAATCACAAAAATTGGGATGTGAAAACTCATATTTTCTACCCATGTGTACAAAAATCCTAAAATAATCCAAAATAAATGTTTTATTTAACCAATCACAATTTTCAAAAAGACAAGCATTTATGACTTGTCATAACAGGGTCATAGTATATATACATGAGAGGCCTGGTGTATGAAATTCATGCACTGGGGTCAGGGGGTCCCTCAGCCAGGTCTATGCCCTCTCACAGTCTGGGACTGCTTGGGGGATGTCTGCCTGCCAGCTTAGGCACGCTCCCTGCAGGGATTGGGCCTAAGCCGGCAGTTGGACATCCCTCTTGAAGTCCAGGACCCCTTACTCCTTACTGCTTGCCTGCTCACTGCTCCTTACAGCTCAGCTTGCTGCTCCTTAGCGCTACCGCGGAGGCAGGAGAGGCTCCCACCACCACCACTGTGCTTGCCAGCCATGAGCATGGCTTCTGGCTGAGCAGTGCTCCCCCTGTGAGAGCACACTGACCACCAGTGGGCAGCTCCTGCATTTAGCATCTGCCCCCTGTGGTCAGTGTGCATCATAGCAACCAGTCATTCTGGTTGTTCCACCTTAACGGTCACTTCAGCTTTTATTATATAGACTAGAGGCCCGGTGCACAAAAATTTGTGCACTCGGGGGGAAGGGGGGGTCCCTCAGCCTGGCCTGTGCCCTCTCGCAGTCTGAGACCCCTCGGGAGATAACGCCCTGATGGCTTAGGCCTGCTCCCGGGTGGCAGAGGGCAGGCCTAATCCCTAGGTGCAGCCCCTGGTCGGGCTCAGAGCAGGGTCGATTGGGGAGTTGGGTCGCCGCCCCCTGTCATGCACAGAGCAGGGCGGATTGGGAGGTTGCGATGCCACCCTCAGTCACGCCCAGGGTAGGGCTGATTGGGGGGTTGGGGCACCGCCCCCTGTCACACTCAAGGCAGGGTCGATGGGGAGGTTGTGGCGCCACCCCCTGTCACGCACAGAGCAGGGCCCATCAGGGGTGTTGGGGCTCTTTACCCTGTCACGCACAGAGCAGGGTCAATCAGGGGGTTGGGGAGCTCCCCCCTGTCACGCACAGAGCAGGGCCCATCAGGGGGTTGGGGAGCTCGCCCCTGTCATGCACAGAGCAGGGCCCATCAGGGGGTTGGGGAGCTCCCCCCTGTCACTCACAGAGCAGGGCCGATAGGGGAGTTGGGGCACCGCCCCGTCACACACAGAGCAGGGCGGATCAGGGGGTTGGGGCGCCGCCCTCTATCACCCACAGAGCAGGGCCGATCAGGGGGTTGGGGTGCCGCCACTGTCACACTCAGGGCAGGGCTGATGGGGAGGTTATGGCTCTACCCCATCACACACAGAGCAGGGCCCGTGGGGGGGGGGGGTGTGCCGCCCTCTATCACCCACAGAGCAGGGCTGATCAGGGGGTTGGGGTGCCGCCACTCTCACACTCAGGGCAGGGCCGATGGGGAGGTTATGGCTCTACCCTGTCACACACAGAGCAGCAGGGCGATCAGGGGGTTTGGGCACTGCCCCCTGTCACGCTGATCCCGGTGCCGGGAGGCCTCTCGGCTCTGCTGATCCCGGTGCTGGGAGGCATATTACCCTTTTACTATATAGGATAGAGGCCTGGTGCATGGGTGGGGCTGGCTGGTTTGCCCTGAAGGGTGTCCTGGATCAAGGTGGGGGTCCCCACTGGGGTGCCTGGCCAGCCTGGGTGAGGGGATGATGGTTGTTTGCAGCTGGTCACACACCCTTCAGGGTGGGGGTCCCCACTGGGGTGCCTGGCCAGCCTGGGTGAGAGGCTGAGGGCTGAAGCTCCCAACTGCTCCTTTTTTTCTTTTTCTTTTTTATTCTTGGCCAGCTTTAGCTCTGGCTCCAGCTCTGAGGCCTCTGCTGCTGAAAGCAGGTATCTGGTTTGCTTGGGTTCTATAATCGAAACAATGTATAACTCCAGCTCTGAGATCCCCGCTCGCTGAAAGCAGATTTCTGAGGTTTTGTTTAGCTTCTATATTTGTAACAATGTTTCAAACTGCAGGCTCAGAGGCCGGTAAGGCAGGCGGGGAACGTTGGTTTCCTTCGTCACTGAAGCAAGCAAGCCTCATGTTAGTTTCAAGCTGCCTGGCTGTCGGCCGCCATCTTGGCTGGCAGTTAATTTGCATATCGCCCTGATTAGCCAATGGGAAGGGTAGCGGTCGTACGCGGATTACCATGTTTGTCTTTTATTAGATAGGATACAGTCTACAGATCTGTTTTTTGTCCTCTGAATAATATCTTTTTTTTATACTGACAACTGTATATTGGTGGTGGTGTTTTTTTCTTTTTTTTTGGTTAATCCTCACACGATATTTTTCCATTGGCTTTTATAGACAGGAAGGGAGGGAGAGAATACATGATGTGATAGAGACACTGACTGGTTGCCTCCCCCTGGTGCCCACAAGCCTGCAACCGACCAGAATTGAACCCAGGACCTTTCAGTCCATGGACCAACGCTCTATCCAATGAGCCAAACTGTTTAGGGCTGTAGTATATTGGTGTGGTTTGTTTTTAGTATATTGTTTTTAATTGCTATTCACAGTTATGCTAACTGGATATTTCATAATTTACCAAGATACTCAAATTATCATTATATTTTTAAGTTTTTCCATTTTTAAATTACAAAAGCAGCTGTGATTAATAGAAAATACCTTTTTTTAACCAAATAACCTGCTGTAATTAGAATCGTTGGGTCAAAGAAAATGAAAAATTTTAAATGGATCCAGGTTGCCTTCTGTAAAGGATCTACTCAAAGACTCAAATTCAGCGGTTCTCAACCTGTGGGTCGAGACCCCTTTGGGGGTCGAACGGCCCTTTCACAGGGGTCGCCTAAGACCATCGGAAAACACATATATAATTACATATTGTTTTTGTGATGAATCCCTATGCTTTAATTATGTTCAATTTGTATCAGCGAAATTGGGGGTCACCACAACATGAGGAACTTAAAGGGTTGCGGCATTAGGAAGGTTGAGAGCCACTGCTCTAATTACAGACCCATCACTCCCTGCGTAAACATAACGTTTTAAAATGTGCCCTTTTTTAGTTGGAAACTGGTCAAAGTATGATAATTGTGTCATCTCATAATTTCATATTCCCAAATGCCCCACCATCATCATTTATTTTTGTCACTTCATCCCTTTCTGCACTAGAGGAAGCTATGTGTCCCCTCCCACGAGGGTATCATCATTCTGATGGACTTCCTTCTAAACTACAAATGCCTTATCCACTCCACACACAACCGCCCTGTCGGCAGACCTAAGCCTTTCAATGACCGCTCCTGCCCTGGCCGGTTTTGGTCAATGGATAGAGCGTCCGCCTGCGGACAGAAGGGACCTGGGTTCCATTCCGGCAAGAACACAAGCCCGGGTTTTATGCTTGATCCCCAGTAGGGGGCGTGCAGGAGGCAGCCGATCAATGATTCTCTCTTATCATTGATGTTTCCAACTCTCTCTGCCTCTCTGAAATCAATACAAAAAATATTTTTAAAAAATAAAAATAAATAAATAAATGACCGCTCCTTTGTCAACTCTGTGCCCACTACCTCTCCGGCGATATCTCGGCTTCTAGAAGCATCCGAGAACATCCGACACCTCAGCCAACTCTGCCGTACGGACACCTGCCTTCGTCCAAGATGGCCGCGCCCATGGCGCCCAGCGTCCAGTCTCAGCTACTCGGTGCGCAGAGGGCGCCGCCATCTTTCCTTGTGCCCCAGTGGGAGGAGCGCGCCTCGTGGCCCTCGGATAGGCACCGCCTTTATACCCTTACAGACAACACGGCAATGCGGACCGTCCGTCCAGCGAGGGGGTCACAGCACCGTGGTGGCCAAGAATGATCGCCGTTTCTTCCCACAGCCGTCACGGCCGCTCCGGTCACAAACGCCGGGGTGGGCGTGGCCATGTACGTCATAGAGCGGGGCCCACAGTTGGAACTAGGAAGTCCGCCGTCGCCGGGCGGTCCTCGCGGAACTCCCTGGTGCCAGGCAGCCGATGAGCGTCCTTAGGAACCGCGAATGGGAAGCGGCCTCGGACGCGGGCTCAGCCTTCCGTCCCTGCCCGCGGTGTCCCGAGCGGCGCGGGATTCGGTGAGTCGAGCTCTGGGCTCGGATTCTCGGCTGGCGGAGCTCCGTGACACGCGAGCGTGTGGACCGTTGTGGTTGGGGATCTTTTCGGATTCCGTCACTAAGGGGTCTGGCCGTTGGTGACGGGAACTCGGGCGGGCAGGGACTGAGGGTGCGAAGAAGTCACCCCCCGGAACCCGACTCTCTCTGGGTGTGAGGTCCACGGGGGTCGCTCCGCTTGTGGGTGAGAGTGGGGGCGGAAAGTCTGTCAGCGGACGCCGTGCTCAGTGGCAGAGAAGCCCGGGTTTGGGGGTGCCCCTTTTGGTTTCTGGGGCATGTTTGTGGTTTAATATAGGACTCGTCGTAGAGACGCCTGGTGGGGTCGTCACTGTTGACAGGTCGGGGGCCCCCAGTATCGTTATGTTCGGGCTCAAACCTGGATTCCCGGAAACAGACCGGAAGGATGCCCGCCCCCAGTTAACCCAAAGCATTGTCACTCCTTCCAGTGCTGGTCCGTCCTAAAAACCTGTGTCCTGTCCCACTGATGCCTGAGGGGCGAGTTCCTAGTCCGAACTGGAACCAAAAAGGGTTCAAGAGGGAACCGTGGAGTGAAGTGGAGGAGTAGGGGTTTTTGTTTTGGGAAAGTTTTATTATAAAGCTGAGACAGCGAACCAAGGAAGGGCTTAGGATAGAAGCAACAGGAGAGCGCCTAAGCGGGGCAGCTTTGGCTCACTGGGAAGTCGGAGAAAAGGGGGGCCTTGGAGAGGGACCTTGTTCTTCTTTCTCAAGATTGCTAAGGCTATTGGGGTCTTTTATGAGGCCATGTGAATTTTTGGAATATTTTGTTGTAGATCTGTGAGATATGCCATTGTTAATAGGAATCGCGCCGAGTCTATATGTTGCTTTGGGTAGTATGGACATTTTAATGATGTTAATGTTTCCTATCCATGAACGTGGGTATGTTTCCACTTATATGTATCTCCCTCAGTTTCTTTCTTCAGTATCCTATAATTTTCCAGGTAGAGGTCGTTTCCCTGCTTGGTTAAATTTATTCCGAGGTACCTTATTTTCACTTGTTGCAGTATTGTATGTGGGATTGTTTTCTTAATTTCTCTTTCTGATAGTTCATTCTTGTCCTATAAAAATGCCTCTGATTTCTGAATATTAATTTTGCATCTTGCTACCTTACTGAATTCATTTATCAGTTTTAGTCATTTTTTGGTGGAGTATACAGGGTTTTCTACATAGAGTATCATGTCATGTGTGAATAATGCCCGTTTTACTTCCTCCTTTCCAATTTGGATGCCTTTTATTTCTTCTTTTTTTAAAATATATATTTTATTGATTTTTTACAGAGAGGAGGGGAGAGGGATAGAGACTTAGAAACATCGATCAGCTGCCTCCTGCACACCCCCTACTGGGGATGTGCCTGCAACCCAGGTACATGCCCTTGACCAGAATCGAACCTGGGACCCTTCAGTCTGTAGGCCAACGCTCTATCCACTGAGCCAAACCGGTTAGGGCTTATTTCTTCTTCTTGTCTGATTGCTGTGGCTAGGACTTCCAGCACTATATTGAATAAGAACGGTGAAAGTGGACATCCCTGTCTTCTTCCTGATCTTAAGGGAAACACTTTTTAGTTTTTGCCCATTGAGTATGATGTTGGCTATGGGTTTGTCATATATGGACTTTATTATGTTGAGTTTTGATCCCTTTATTCCCACTTTGCTGAGTTTTTTTATCATAAATGGATGCTGGATTTTATAAAATGCTTTTTCTACATCTATTGATATGATCATGTGATTTTTTTCCTTCATTATGGTTATGTAATGTATCACTTTTATTGATTTGCTAATATTGTACCAGCATTGCATTCCTAGAATAAATCCCATTTGATCATGGTGTATGATCTCTTTAATATATTGCTAGATCCAGTTTGCTAATCTTTTGTTGATGTTTCAGCATCTTTGTTCACAAGGGATACTGGCCTTTAATTTTCTTACTGTGTAGTGTGATTTTCTGGCTTTGTTATTAGGATAATGCTGGCCTAATAAAATAAGCTTGGAAGTGTTCTCTCCTCATGAATTTTTTTAATAGTTTGAGAAGGATAGGTGTTATTCTTCTTTAAATATTTGATTAAATTCACCTGTGAAACCATCTGGTCCAGGACTTTGATTTCTGGGAGGTTTTTTGTTGTTGTTGTTGTTGTTTTAATTTTATTTTCTTGTTTAAAGTATTACAAATAGTAGTACATATGTCCCCTTTTTTCCCCATTGACCTTCCCCCGGCCTCCCCAACCCCCAGCACATGCCCTTACCCCCCCGCCCCCAGTGTCTTGTGTACATTGGTTATGCTTATATGCATGCATATAAGTTCTTTGATTGATCTCTTACCCTCTCCCCCCAACATTCCCCAGGCTTCCCACTGTAATTTGACAGTCTGTGCGATGCTTCTCTGCCTCTGTAGCTATCTTTTTGTTCATTAGGTTATAATGGTCTTTATTATCCATAAATGAGTGAGATCATGTGGTATTTTTCCTTCATTGACTGGCTTATTTCACTTAGCATAATGTTCTCCAGTTCCATCCATGCTGCTGCAAATGGTAAGAATTCCTTCTTTTTTTTTTTTTAATATATTTAATTGATTTTTTACAGAGAGGAAGGGAGAGAGATAGAGAGTCAGAAACATCGACGAGAGAGAAACATCGATCAGCTGCCTCCTGCACATCTCCTACTGGGGAAGTGCCCACAACCCAGGTACATGCCCTTGACCGGAATCGAATCCGGGACCGTTCAGTCCGCAGGCCAACGCTCTATCCACTGAGCCAAACCGGTTTTGGCGGATTCCTTCTTTTTTATAGCAGTGTAGTATTCCATCGTGTAGATGTACCATAGTTTTCTAACCCACTCATTTGCTGATGGGGGCTTAGGCTGTTTCCAAATCTTAGCTATGGTAAATTGTGCTGCTGTGAACATAGGGGTGCATATATCCTTTCTGATTGGTGTTTCTGTTTTCTTGGGATATATTCCTAGAAGTGGTATTACTGCGTCAAATGGGAGTTCCATTTTTAAATTTTTGAGGAAACGCCATACTGCTTCCCACAGTGGCTGCACCAGTCTGCATTCCCACCAGCAGTGGGAGGTATTTTTTAATTACTGCTTTGATTTCATTAGTTGTAATTGGTCTATTCAGATTTTCTGATTCTTCCTGATTCAGTTTTGGAAGATTGTATATTTCTAGGAATTTATCCAATTCACCCAGTTGTCCAGTTTGGTGCAATATAGTTGTTCATAATATTTTCTTAGAATCCTGTGTATCTCTGTGATGTCAGTTGTTACTTTTCTTTCATTTCTGATTTTATTTATTTGAATCTCTTTGTTTCGTGATGAATCTGGCTACAGGTTCATCAATCTTGTTTATGTTTTCAAGGAACCAGCTCTGCTTGTTTTTTTATTGCTTAATAGCTAATTTCCTTTGATTGCTGAGTAATATTTGATTGTCTGAAGATGCTATAACCATCTATAATCAGATTTCTGAGTAGACATAAGTTTTCATATCATTTTGGTAAATATCAAGGAATGTGCTTTTTGGATCTTATAAGAGTATGTTTAGTTTTGAAAGAAACTGCCAGACTAACAAATGTCTAACTATGGACATTGTCCTAGAGGGTGAAAGCCTCTGGGACACCGGAATATTGGGGTCCTGCCCTAACCGGTTTGGCTCAGTGGATATAGCTTCGGCCTACGGACTGAAGGGTCCTAGGTTCGATTCCGGTCAAGGACATGTACCTTGGTTGCAAGCATTTCCCCAGAAGGGGGTGTGCACGAGGCAGCTGATCAATGTTTCTCTCTCATCAATGTTTCTAACTCTCTATCCCTCTCCCTTCCTCTCTGTAAAAAAATCAATAAAATATATATATATATTTTTTAAAAGAATATTGGGGTCCTTTCTTTAAGCAAAGTATATGGTAACAGTGACAACATCTGGGCCCAGAAGGAATGTCCACTCAAAGTCAATTTGCTCCTCAGCCCACAGGTCCTGGCTCCCCAATAGTAAGAAGCGTCAAGTAAAGGAATGAAGGAAGGAAAAGAAGGCTCTTAGACTTGGGTACCATCATTTCTGGGGACAACTTTAACTGGATACCTACATGTCTACCTCTAAGAACTTCACGGCAGATGCAGAGGACACAACATACATAGAATCCATGTAACTCAGTATTTCCTGAGCACAGAAGAAAATGATGGGAGCCCAGGTAATTGTTTCTTTCTTTTACCTTTTCTTTGTTTTCTTACAGGTGTGTGGTGACATTAAAATAAATAAATAAATAAATAAAAAGCCCTAACTGGTTTGGCTCAGTGGGTAGAGCGTTAGCCTGCGGACTGAAAGGTCCCAGGTTCGATTCCAGTAAAGGGCATGTACCTTGGTTGTGGGCACATCCCCAGTAGGAGGTGTGCAGAAGGCAGCTCGATGTTTCTAACTCTCTATCCCTCTCCCTTCCTCTCTTTAAAAAATCAATAAAATATATATTTTTAAAAATCAACTAAATAGCCCTAACCGGTTTGGCTCAGTGGATAGAGCATCGGCCTGCGGACTGAAGGGTCCTAGGTTCGATTCCGGTCAAGTACCTTGGTTTCGGGCACATCCCCAGTAGCGGGTGTGCAGGAGGCAGCTGATCAATGTTTCTCTCTCATCGATGTTTCTAACTCTCTATCCCTCTCCCTTCCTTGCTGTAAAAAATCAATAATATATATATATATATTTTAATAAAATATATTTTAAAAAATCAACTAAATAAAGGATAAATTGGGATAATTGGGTTCTGGATAAATTAACTTAGACTCTAAATTTGAAATTAGGACAGAGTGAGATCAGGAAAATTTTGTTGGTTGGGGTCATACTAAATGACTAGTATTGGAACATAATGTGTGATGTGGTGGCTTCCATGGGTCACATCAGCTGTCACTTTGCCTCCACTATCTCTGAGTTCTGTGAGCTGTGCTAGCAAATGATTGAACCCAAGTAGAAGGTTACGGGAACCTCAGATTTGTAGTCAATCGGACAGTGGGTTTCCTGGAGACCCACTACTTAAGATTGGTGTCTGAAGTGTGGACAATCGTGCGGAAATGAACCCTTAACCTGTGACATCTGCACTAACTCCCGGCAGTTAGTGCCAGAATTTCTTGGTGTGGAAAACCCACACATCTGGCCCCAGAAGTGTTCTGTGTTAGCGTGTAAAGGAAAACTGAAGTAAGTTTTTCCCAAACGGGGACCTAACCAAGTACAGTGGGGCCTTGACTTATGAGTTTAATTTGTTGTAGACACAATTTACTAGCCAGCCCATGCTCAAGGGAAGGGCACTGCACAGGGGTGTGAGTGTCTAGAAAAGGCATAAGGAATCTGCCTGACATTTGTCTCTGATTCCTGGGAAGTTGCTCTAAATCCTTTAAATTACCTGTGTGATATGAGCTATTCACTCTGGGCCACTGGGACCACACTTTATCGTTTGTGTTAATGCGGTGACTCAAGACAGAGGTTGTTTCAGTGCCAGAAACCAACCAGGTGATTAGAGGGTAGTAGCTTTGAGCCATTTGACATCAGTGTGACTTCTAGGAAGGGGAAGGACCTGGAGACTGAGTCCAGCCACGAGGTCAGTAACTCAGTAAATCGTGCATTTATCATGAAGCCTCAATAACAGCTCTGGATGCCGAAGTGTAGGCGAGCCTCCTGATTGGCAATACTCCTGAGCACTGCCACATGGTGGCTGGGAGGAGCCAATGCTCCATGAAAGAGTCACGTGTTCAGTACCAAATGGCCTTCGTGTCTGGCCTTTTGGATACTCAGGTCAGAACTTTGAAGATAATACCCCATTCTTTCTGATTTCTATTGTTTCTATTTTACGTAAACTGTCTTTTGTCTCTCAGTACTTTTTAAGAGTTTTTCTTTGCCTTTTTTTGTAGTATAGTTTCAGTCTTATGTGTCTAGGTATAGACATTTTGTTCGGAATTTGTTAGGATATCTGAATCTGAGGTTAGCAGTGTTTAACCAGTACTGAAAATTTTCAGCTTTTAGATGTTTGAATACTGCTTCTACATTACTCTTCTCTTGTAGAAACTATAAGTAGGCATACATTACATTTGTTGATGCTATATTCTTTTTTTAAATTGGTTTCAGAGAGAGGAAGGGAGAGGGGGAGAGTGATAGAAACATCAATGATGAGAGAGGATCATTGACCGGCTGCCTCCTGCACACCGCCTACTGGGGATCCAGCCTGCAACCCAGGCATGTGCCCTGACTGGGAATTGAACCGTGACCTCCTAATTCATTGGTCGACACTCACCCATCAGCTAGGCTATGTTCATATTTAATAACCTCTTCCTTATGTTTTTATTCTCTTCTCCATCTGCTGCATTTTCTGATATTTCTTCAGTTATATATTCCGGGTCACTACAGTGTACCTAATATACTATTCATCTGTCCATTAGTGTATATATATATATATGTGTGTGTGTATGTTTTTTTATTATAATTTTTTCCCCTTAAAATCATCCTAATCAACTTTAATGGTCTATTTGGCTTTAGACATACCATGTATAATTTCTGTTTTTTATTTATTTTTTAAAAATATATTTTTATTTTTTTCAGAGAGGAAGGGGGAAAGAGAGAGAGATAGAAACATCAATGATGAGAGAGAATCATTGATTGGCTGCCTTCTGCATGCCCCCCACTGGGGATTGAGCCTGCAACCCAGGCATGTGCCCTTGACCAGAATCGAACCTGGGACCCTTCAGTCCGCAGGCCGATGCTCTATCCACTGAGACAAACGGGCTAGGGCTCTGTTATTTTTTAATACTTATTAAAAACACTTGTCTTGCCCTGACTGGTTTGGCTCAGTGGATAGAGCATTGGCCTGCGGACTCAGGTGTCCTGGGTTCGATTCCGGTCAAGGGCATGTGCCTCAATTGCAGGCACATCCCTAGTGGGGGATGTGCAGGAGGCAGCTGATCCATGTTTCTCTCTCATCGATCTCATCGATGTTTCTAACTCTATCCCTCTCCCTTCCTCTCTGTAAAAAAATCGTATATGTGTATATATATATATATATATATATATATATATATAAATATATATATAAAAACAGTTGTCTTGTAAATTCTGGTTGTGGAGTTTTATTGTAATGTAGGAATACTTTCTTCCTCCCAATGTTATTTGTACATTCAAACAGCTTTTAGATGTTTGAATACTGCTTCTACATTACTCTTCTCTTTTAGAAACTATAAGTAGGCATACATTACATTTGTTGATGCTATACTCTTTTGGAAATACGTGCTAAACTACATATAGAGAGAGAAAGATAGGGTTTTGTTTTTGCTAAAATATATTTGAGGAAAGTATATAGCTGTAGGCTACGTGGTAGAAACTAGAACCTCTGTCCTCATGCATTTTCCATGTTAGTAAAGGGAGTGGGTAGCACAGTAAACAGGACCGTGTTATTACAGGAGTTGCTGACACTGGAGGATGTGGCTGTGGAGTTCAGTTGGGAGGAGTGGCAGCTGTTGGACCCTGCTCAGAAAGAACTGTATCGGGACGTGATGTTGGAGAACTATAACAATCTGGTTTCACTGGGTAAGTACGGCCCCCTGTGTCACCTAGAGGTGCCCTGTCACTGGCCTTTACTCTAGCTCAGCGGTTCTCAACCTGTCGGTCGCGACCCCTTTGGGGGTCGAACGACCCTTTCACAGGGGCCGCCTAAGACCATCGGAAAACACGTATATAATTACATATTGTTTTTGCGATGAATCACTTTGTTTTAATTATGTTCAATTTGTGACAATGAAAATACATCCTGCATATCAGATATTTACATGACGATTCATAACAGTAGCAACATTACAGTGATGAAGTAGCAACGCAAATAATTTTATGGTTGGGGGTCACCACCACATGAGGAGCTGTATTAAAGGGTCGCAGCATTGGGAAGGTTGAGAACCACTGCTCTAGTACTTGATGAAAGCTTTGTAGTCACTGTGGTCCTCTGAGGAGTCAGCAGATTTCCAGTCTCCCCTCTGGCCCCAAACAAAGGGGTATAATCTCCTCTATCCTGAAAGAGAACTTTTACTTTGCATATGAGAAATTGTAATATTTCCCATCTTCACATACTGTGCCGTATCCAAGTCACTATCTATGTCATGTGTCATTTCTCCTGATCAGGGTATCACACCGCCAAACCAGATGCTCTGTCCAAGTTGGAACATGGAAAAGAACCACGAAGAGAGGATGAAATCTATGCTGGAAGCTGTCCAGGTGAGTGAGTGAGGACCAGCTAGGGAGTGGCCCTGGAAGTCATAGTCTAGTCCAGCGGTTCTCAACCTGTGGGTCGCGAACAATGAAAATACATCCTGCATATCAGCTATTTACATTACGGTTCATAACAGTAGCAAAATTACAGTTATGAAGTAGCAACGAAATTAATTTTATGGTTGGGGGTCCCCACAACATGAGGAACTGTATTAAAGGATTGCAGCATTAGGAAGGTTGAGAACCACTGTAGGAGAAGGGCTTGCCCAGCCAGCATGGCTCAGTGGTTGAGTGTCGACCTATGAACAAGGAGGTCACGGTTCGATTCCCGGTCAGGGCATATGCCCAGGTTGCGGGCTTGATCCTCAGTGGGGGGCGTGTAGAAGGCAGCCAATCAATGATTCTCTCTCATCATTGATGTTTCTATCTCTCTCCCTCTCCCTTCCTCTCTGAAATCAATAAAAATATTTTTTTTTTTAAAGAGAAAAAAAAAAAGAAGGGCTCACAGCTCTGAGGGTGTCTGAGGATAGCTAAACAGCTCCTCCACATAGGGATCTCCCGAGATAAGAACAGTTTCTCTTTGTGGTTGTTTTGCTTTAAACATACTCCTTTTTTTCTTGGATCTGATACTTCTTCACCTTAACGTCTTCATGGGACAGGATGGTCGACAATGAAGAGCCAGTCCCCACCACATCATCTTTTCAGCACTTTTATTCTTTTGTTTGTTTGTTTTTGTTAATGCTCACCCGAGGATATTTTTTCCATGATGTATAGAGAGTGGAGGAAGGGAAGGAGAGAGAGAGACATCGATGTGAGACAGACAAATAGATTGGTTGCCTCCCACATGCACCCCCACTGGGGTTGGGGATTGAACCTGCAACCCAGGTACCAGCCCTTGACTGGGAATCAAACCTGCAACCCTTCAGTGCACAGGCTGATGCTCTAACCACTGAGAAGCACTGGCCAGGGCTAAGCACTTTTATTCTAAGAAATTTGTTATTTTCTCTCTACTAGGAATCAGGAAAGTTGACAGTTGTCTGCAAGAGCACTCTCACAACCAAATAGTTCTGAAGAGCATCCAACAGTGCCATGAAAGGAAGGCTCTTAGAAATACTTTTCATCTGAGCAGAACCAATATAGCCATACTACGTAATCATATGTTGGAATTATGTAGGAACGCTTTGAAATCAAGTTTAATTAACCAGAAGCAAAGATGTGAAGTAAAGAACCCTGTTGAGTTTAATGGAGATGAGAAATCCTTTCTACATGATAATCATGAACAGTTGTACACTGGAACGGAAATCCCTAAAAGTGAAAAACACATCAGCACTGAATTACAAGTCTCTAAGCATCAGAAGACTCATAAAATAGAGAAATCCCAAGCATGCATCCAAGGTGAGAAAGCCTGCATCAGGACATCTCAGCTCATCAACCATGGGGGCATTGATACAGGGGAGAAAAGCCATGGGTGTGATTCATGGAAATCCTCCAGAAATGTCATTCTCACTCAACATCAGAAAACTCAAACACGAGACAAAGTCTCTATAACCAACGAATACAGAAAGGGCTCTCCTGTGAACACTGGTCTCACCAGACATCAGAAAACCCATTCAGGAGAGAAATCCTATATATGCAGTGACTGTGGGAAAGGGTTCACCGTGAAGCGCTACCTGATGGCACATCAGCGAACACATAGTGGAGAGAAGCCTTATGTTTGCAACGAATGTGGGAAAGGCTTCACTGTGAAGAGCAATCTAATTGTGCATCAGCGAACTCATACAGGGGAGAAACCCTATGTATGCAGTGAGTGTGGGAAAGGCTTCACCATGCAGCACTATCTTGTTGTACATCAGCGAACACACACTGGAGAGAAACCCTATGTATGTGATGAATGTGGAAGAGACTTCACTGTGAAGAGTAATCTCATTGTCCATCAAAGATCTCATACAGGGGAAAAATCTTATATATGCAGTGAGTGTGGAAAAGGCTTCACCGTGAAGCGCAAGCTCACTATACACCAGCGAACTCATACAGGAGAGAAATTGTACATATGTGAGGAATGTGGGAAAGGCTTCACCACTAAGTGCACCCTCATTATACATCAGCGAACTCACACAGGAGAAAAACCCTATGAATGCAATGAGTGTGGGAAGGCCTTCAGCCAGAAGATCAGCCTCAGACAACACGAGCGATGTCATACGGGAAAGACACCCTTTGTGTGTAGTGAGTGTGGAAAACAATATTCTCACAAATATGGTCTCATTACCCATCAGAGAAGTCACACAGGAGAGAAACCGTATGAGTGCAAGGCATGTGGGAAAGCCTTCGCCACAAAGTCAGTCCTCAATGTCCACCAAAGAACTCACACAGGAGAGAGACCCTATGAGTGCAGCATTTGTGAGAAAGCCTTCTCCCAATTGTCACACCTTGTTAAACATCAGAAAACGCACACCCGAGAAATGGGTAGATTCACTCAAGCTGAAAATTCTTTTAATGGAGAGTCACGGTCACTACCTGTGAGTGAAGTCATGCGGAACAACACACCTATTAATGCAGTTTCTGTGGAATGCCTTCTGGGACAACCAGGACCTCATTAAACATCAGTGTTTCTAGCAGATGAGAATGCAAACATGGTAATGCCTGTTGTCAGACGTGTGCCCTGAGGAGATTAAGGAATTTCCCGGGAGATTAACTTGGTGAGGACAGTGACTGTGGTAGTGCCTTGAGTGATCCTTACCTCACATTTTCTGTCAGTGAAAACATGTTGGAAAAACTCTGATACGTCCAACGTGAAGATGCCTTTCCAGCTTCATTATATGCCTCAACAAAACTTTCTGGCTTCAATACACGTATGAAAAGTGCATATTGAGACAAATTCTGTGTACACAGAGACGAGGAAAGCTTTCAGTGGGAAGATAGACTTTATTATCAGGGATTGTCATAGATCATCGGTGTGTTCATTGTTCGTAGGAGTATGAAAAACAGACAAACGATAAAAAACAAAGAAATGTGGTAACCACGGGAAAGCCGCTACCCAGAAAGAAGACCTCAGTGAGAGTCACAGTTCACACTGGACACAACCTTTAAGAGAACTGCATTATATTTGACAATCTCACTGATGCATTCTACCCCATCGTTTGAAAATCATATAGAAGTTAAGGCTTTATGAACATGCTAAATTTAGAGCACTTTTAGTCAAATATCAGAGAACTTACAAAGGGAAGAAGTTCTATGAAAAGGGGTAATGTGGTTTTTTTTGTTTTTTTTCAAAGCTGGAGTAATTTTTATTGATTTCAGGCAAAGTAGATTTTAAAACAAGAAAGATTATCAGCAGTAATCTATATATATATATAAAGCCAGTGACTGGAATGCCACAACAACCATAACAACCAGAGACCAGAACACCAGGCCCCTCACCCAGGCTGCCCCCGCCCCACAGGGAGCGGTTAGGGGTGCCCCTAGGCAACACGAGAGGGTGCGAGTTTGATGGGGGAAGGTCTAAGGGTCTGCCGGGTTGGGGTGGTCGCCCGGAGTAGGTGTGGAGTGTGCGGGGGAAGGAAGAGGAAGATCCGATTGGAGGACGCTCAGCACAGTACCTTTCTCATTGCGACCAGGACGGCGCCAGCCGCGGACTGAATGGGCGGTTGTTTCATGCGTGCGCCTGGGCCCGACATGTTCATGGCAGCGGCAGTAACTCCCGAAACTTCACTGATTCCAAATAGTAAACAGCTATCAACGCCAAAGAACAGAAAAACCCCCTCCAACAAGAGGCCCCGGACGATGCAACGCGACTGAAGGAAACACCACTTGAGGAGCTAGAAAACAGGGGTAATGTTTGAGTGGGTTTTTGTTTTTGTTTTTTAAAGACCAAACTGCTACACCACTGGTCGTGGTGGTGGTTTCTATTTTGAATCTGTACCAATGGTCCTCAAACTTCAGCATGCTCCGTTTCTTTTAAATATATTTTTCATTGATTTCAGAGAGGAAGGGACAGGGGGAGAGAGAGAGAAACATCAATAATGAGAGAGAATCATTGATCAGCTGCCTCCTGCACGCCCCCTACCTGGAATCGAGACGGCACAACAATGGGAATCGAACCATGACCTGGTTCATAGTTCAATACTCAACCACTGAGCAACATCAGCTGGGCTGAGTGTTCTGTTATAAGTCTAACTTTATTTCATTTTACATTAGATAATTCACCTGATAAAAACTAGTGTGCTTTCCTCACTCCTGATTTATTTTTACTGTTAAATGCAACAAAGGAGTGTTCTATGACCTCATACGATTAGCTCTCACCTTTCTTTGGGTTGAAATTTAATTGTAAATTTACCATACAGAAATAGTTTAAAAGAAAACATTTTAAATTTATAAATATAACATATTTAATCTTACCCAGTCAAGTTTATAAGTATGGCCAAATATTTTATAAAACCACCTTCAAAGTTATTTTTATAAAATGTTTAATATGAAATTATTTTAACTTACAAGAAATTGCAAAACAGTCCATAGACTTTCCTAGTATTCTTTACCCAGCTACTCCCAGTAAAAACATCTGATAAAACCATTTTTTATTGAATCCAGAAAGATGACATTGGTAGTATACTGTTAATGAAACTCTTAACCTTATTTGGATTCTATTAGACTTTACATGTATTTTTTTTAAGTTTGTAATTCTAAGCTTTATTACCTTATATAGAGCCACATAACCAAAACCATGATGGAAAATTGCTTAATCCACAGACTCCCCCGTGCTAATGTTTTTTAGGCTCATATCCCCTCTATCTAAACCTACCTCTGGCAAACACTTGACCTGTTTTCCATCAGTTTAATTTTGGCATTTCATGAATGTTATAGGAATCATTTTTATAGTTGGATTTTATATGTTTTATATAAATCAATTGTATTTATTTATACAAATTTATGTTTTACTAATGGGGACCATGTAAGCATTTCGTGTTTTTGTCACTTGGCAGATTGCTCTTAAATTGAGTTGAGAATGGTGTTCTTTTTATTAGTGAGTACATGCATACACTGGATATACCAGTTTGTGTAGCCATTCAAACTCGTGAAAGATTTGTATTGTTTCCTGGTTTCAGCTGTTATAAATCATACTGATGCTATGAAGTCTGCGTACAGTGTTTTGTGTGAATGTAAACGTCTATTCCTCTGCAATACATATACAGGTAATGATTATTGGGACATTTGTTAAGTTATATTTAGCTTCATAAGAAATTACCAGACTCTTCCAGAATGGCTGTACTCTTTCACATTCTTCCCAGCAACGTGTGCAGTCTGAGTTGCTCAGCATCCTCTCCAGCACTTGGTATGTTCAGTGTCTCCTACTTTGGCCATTCTACTAGCCACATATGTGAGATTTTAAAAAATATATATATTTTATTGATTTTTTACAGAGAGGAAGGGAGAGGGATAGAGAGTTAGAAACATCGATCAGCTGCCTCCCACACACCTCCCACTGGGGGTGTGCCTGCAACCAAGGTACATGCCCTTGACCGGAATCGAACCTGGGACCCTTCAGTCCACAGGCTGACGCTCTATCCACTGAGCCACACCAGTTAGGGCCACATATGTGAGATTTAATTGCTCTTCATCCTTCCCAGCACTTGGTGGTGTCGTTACATTTTACATTAACCATTCCAATAGGCATGTAGTAGTATTTGATCTTGAGCTTAACTGTATTTTCCTAATGGCTAATGATGATCAACATTATATTATTATTGTTTTTGTTGTTATTTTTGGAGTTATTTTTAAGTGGAAGTTTGTATCTTTTGACCATCCCTACCCCTCTGGCAACCAGCAATCTTTTCTCTGTATCAGTGAGTTTGTTTTGTTTTAGATTCTACATATAAGTGAGATCATACAGTATTTGTCTTTTTGTAAAAAATATATATTTTGACAAATAAGGCAACTAAGATGGCGGCATAGGTAAACACCGGGAATTCGCCGCCTCTCACAACAATTGAAAATTACCGCGAAGGACTGAGCAAACATCACCCAGAACAACAGAAAGGCTGGCTGAGTGTAAATTCCACAACTAGAAGGAAAGAAAAGCACGCCGAGAGCCAGAGGCGCTGCGGAGGTGAAGTGCAGAGGTACGGAGGCTCGCGCGCGCGGAAAGGGGGTGGTGCCTGAGGACGCGGCTGTCTTTTTGAATCACCAACTCCCGACTGCTCTGAACTCCGGTTCCGGGAAGTCTCTGGGGACCCAGGTCTCATACGGGGAGAAGCTGGTCTGTCCGGCAGCGAGCGAACTTGAGGGCGGCTTTCACTCAGAGGTGCTTGCAGCCGTTACCGGAACACTGAGACGCGCGACTCTGGGCGGAGAATCGGCCATGGCTGCTTTCTCCGCCCTCTGACTCCCTGAGACCCCGCCCCACCCAGGCTGCGGCAGAGGCTTTTGCATGTGAATGTACCTAACGGCAGCCGAACCAGGCAGACCAGGAACTTCCAAGAGAAGGCCCAAGGCCCTGCAGCGGCTTGCATTGCTTCACAGCTGAGCCTCTTCGTGGCTCCTGCTGTGTGGCCTCAGGCAGAGGCTGAATTAGCACCTCCTTAGAACCAGGAGCCACTGTACCCAGTGGTCAGAGGGGGACCATCCAGATTGCAATTCCTCAGATCCATAAGGGGCGCACTCAGGGAGCAGACTCAGTGAGCACCAAAGCCCCACTGAAGCAAGTCTTGCCCCAGAAGGGTGTCTTCAGCACAGAAGTTCCCCCACTTTAGACACAGCTGATTCTCACAGCCAATTGGCCTGGAGGTCAATTCCTCCCAGTGATTCTACAACAACCAAGGCACCAAGAGTGCACCAAGAGTGTCCACCCCAGGTAACTGGGGAGGCTGAGATACTGGGCCCTACAGGACACCTGGCGCGCAGGGCCACTCTATCAACACAGGGAAGCTGCCAAAATGCGGAGACAAAGAAACAGGTCACAAATGGCAGAAATGGAGGAAAGCAAACGATTGGATATAGAGTTTAAGGCCACGGTTATAAGGTTTTTCAAGAATTTTATGGAAACCGCCGATAAATTTAATGAATCCCTCAATAAGTATAGGGAGACCATGGAGGACATGAAAAAGGACCAACTAGAAATTAAGCATACACTGACTGAAATAAAGAATAATTTACAGAGATCCAGCAGCAGAAAAGAGGATCCCAAGAATCAAGTCAAAGATTTGAAATACAAAGAAACAAAAAATACCCAACCGAAAAAGAAAAAAGAAAAGAGATTCCAAAAATATGAAGATAGTGTAAGGAACCTCTGGGACAACTTCAAGCGTACCAACATCAGAATTATAGGGGTACCAGAAGGAGAGAGAGGGCAAGATATTGAAAACCTTTTGAAGAAATAATGACAGAAAACTTCCCCCACCTGGTGAAAGAAATGGACTTACAAGTCCAGGAAGCGCAGAGAACCCCAAACAAAAGGAATCCAAGGAGGACCACACCAAGACACATCATAATTAAAATGCCAAGAGCAAAAGATAAAGAGAGAATCTTAAAAGCAGCAAGAGAAAGACAGTCAGTTACCTACAAGGGAGTACCCATACGACTGTCAGCTGATTTCTCAACAGAAACCATGCAGGCCAGAAGAGACTGGCAAGAAATATTCAAAGTGATGAATAGCAAGAACCTGCAACCAAGATTACTTTATCCAGCAAAGCTATCATTCAGAATAGAAGGTCAGATAAAGAGCTTCACGGATAAGAAAAAGCTAAAGGAGTTCATCACCACCAAACCAGCATTATATGAAATGCTGAAAGGTATTCTTTAAGAAGAGGAAGAAGAAAAAGGAACTCTTACCATTTGCCACAGCAGGGATGGAACTTGAGAGCGGATAAATACCACAGGATCTCACTCATTTGTGGAATATAATGAACAACATAAGCTGATGAACAAGGACTGATCCAGAGACGGAGAGGCATTGATTGGACTGTCGGGACTTGGAGGGAAGGTAGGGGAGGGTGGGGGTAAGGGGGAAAGATCAACCAAAGGACTTATATGCAAGCATATAGGCCTAATCAATGGACATGGACAACGGGGGGGTGAGGGCATGAGCGGGGGTGGGGGGGGGTGGGGGGTAGAGGGCAACGTGGGGACAAGGACACATATGTAATATCTTAATCAATAAAAAAAAAAAAGAAAAAAAAAATATATATATATATATTTTATTGATTTTTTACAGAGAAGAAAGGAGAGGGATAGAAACATTGATGAGAGAGAAACATCAATCAGCTGCCTCCTGCATGCCCCCCACTGGGGATGTGCCTGCAACCAAGGTACATGCCCTTGACTGGAATCGAACCTGGGACCCTTGAGTCCTCAGGCCGACGCTCTATCCACTGAGCCAAACCAGTCAGGGCAGTATTTGTCTTTCTCTGACTTATCTCACTTAGCATAATATCCTCAAGGCCCAAGCATGAGTTGCAAATGTCAGGATATCCTGCTTTCTCATGGCTGAATAATATCCCATTATGTATACATAGGTATATAATCCTATATAATAAAAGTGTAATATGTAAATCGACTGAATGGCCCAACAGCAGGACGACAATCCAGACGACCATCTGAAACCACACTATAATGCCCACTGACTGGTGCCAGGCCAGCCAAGGTGGGTGCGATGCAAGTGGTTGGGGGCCCGGTCGTCACCCCATGATTACCCCACAGAGGGAGGCCCAGGCCACCAGCCAACAGGGTGATCAATCCGGGGGGGGGGGGAGGTGCTCCACGATTGCCCCAAAGAGGGAGGTCCAGGCCACTGACCAGCAGGCTGCAGCATGTGGGCAGTGCTGGGTCCCGGGTCCCGGGTCCCGGCAGCCATGGGAAGGAAGGCCTACTCTTGCACAAATTTCATACATTGGACCTCTAGCGTACATATAACATATACACATAACACACCTTTGTCCGTCACTCCATCAATGAACACATAGCTTGTTTCCTTTTCTTGTCTATTGTAAATAGTTCTGTAATGAACACGGTTATGCAGATATCTTCTTGAGATATTTTGTTTTCTTCAGATAAATACCGTAAGTGGAATTGCTGGGCTGTATGGTAGATCTCTTTTTTAATTTTTAAGGAATCTGTACTGTTTCCCAGAGTTGCTGCATAAATTTTACAATCCTATTTTTTTGTTTCCACTGGTGGCCTGGTGCACGACATTCGTGCATGGGAAGGGGGGTGTCCCTCAGCCCGGCCTGCACCCTCTCCAATCTGGGACCCCCCGGGGGATGTCCGGCTGCCGGTTTAGGCCCAATCCCGCGGCCTAAACTGCTTCCCTGCCAGCCTGATCGTCCCCAACTGTCCTCCCCTATCTGTGGAAAACCCAGAAATGCAGTTGTCGTTTTGTCTGCAAAAATGCCTGAGACCTTTGGTGGGTAATGAGGAAAGGGGCAGAGTTCCGTAAATTTAGTGCAGTTGTTGGTGGGTCCTGGTGATTTGTGGAGTCAGGTCAGTGTCTGGGTATCTGGGTGCACAGTGGGGGGGGAGGGCCTGTCCAAGTCCACCTTGGGTGATGCGAGTGGCATTGCAGGGGAGCCCTAAGGTGTCCACAGTAGGGTGTATTATGAGATTAGGGTGCCTGTGGCCTCCGTCAGGACCTGCTCTTGTGGTTAAAAACCTCCAGATATAAATGTCTTAGTCCTGAGGGCACATTTTGCCATTTTTTTTGCTGCTAACTCTCTGTGGAGCCGCGCAATTTCAAACTGCAGAGTGGTGTTAGTTGGTGAATGCTCTGTGTGGCTTGGGTTTGTTTGGGGGTTAAATGATGGATGAACTTTTGGGGGGTCAGTGTACTGGGGTAATGGGAGGAAGCATCTGGGGTTCCATGCACATATGGGCTGATCCTTTGGAGCCCCTGATACCTGGGCCTTCCTGTGTGTGATGCCATTATAATTAGTTATTAATAACTAGGGGCCCAGTGCACGGATTCATGCAGCTTGAATGGAACTGTGGGCCTCAAGGCTGAGGCTGCAGTGGGCACAGGGGCGGGTCTCAGGGGTGGGTCTCGGGCCATTCTTCATGCCCCCTGCCCCTCCTGCCATGGCAATCCCCTGTCTGAAGGCAATCCCGCTCTCGCCACTGCTCCCACATGCTGACCGGCTGACGGC